AAAAAGAAAGACACCAAGCTACCCAGCGGAAGCGAGCCAACCCTCCACTTAACACACGTTGACTTCAAAATTGCAAAACCTAAACCCTAAATATAAGCCACATGATTCATTCGATTCTATTCACCATTATCCTGTATTAGTAGACAAGTTAAACTAGTACTGGAAACGGAGACGACCCAGGGGGCATATGAATAAAATAAATAATGCGGAGCATACGGTACGGGACTAGCTTTGACACTCTTTCGTGACTCAGGAATCTTTGCCCCAAGCACCTCCAACACCCAACACACACGCTTTCGGAACTTGGAACCTCAAACAGAAGAGACAATGAGCACCCCTATCGGCACCGGAGGCAACAAACTAGCCCAGCTAACAGCAACTACCCTGCTGCTAATCACATGTCAGCCAACGACTTCGTTCGTTCCTCAAGGACATTATCATCAAGGGCTTCTACCGATCAGAAGACAAACAGATCCAACGAGGTACAACAACAACCAACGAGTCTCAGGTGCTAATAGCAGTTTCGGTTATCTTTCGGATTATCATCCTTCAGCCAGAACCGTCTTGTCTTTATCCACTCCTTTGTCAGACAGTGAGAAGACGACTCCTCAGAAAAGTGATAGCAGTCTTATCAATGGGTACACTCTTTGTTGGATAGCCACCGTCACTTCCTGGACCGCCGTTGCCAATACAGCACTCTCCCGACACCCAACTCCCGCTCTTCAGGCAGCCATATCCATTCGCCACAACTGCTTTACCATCGCTCAAGCATTGGCATTTCCCATTCCCATAGTCACGGCGACATTTCTGGCGCTGCAACAACCAGCAAATGGTGATGGGAGTGATACCCCCAAACGACAGCATCTGGGAATGGCAATGGCATGTCTCTGGACGGCGGCTGGAGTCTGGTGGGGACCAACATTTTCCGTGGGATATGATCTCTTCTCGGCCTATCCAATGATACGCTATGGAGCTCCTACAGTGTTCTCTCTGGTGGCCTTCTTTTGTCTGGCCAAGTATTGGAAACAACAACAACAATCCGACACAGATTCATCGTCATCATCAATCCCACAGGTAGCATCTCGAATGGTCCATGGTTGCATTCAGTCGTTCTATGCATTACTCAACCCCTCCAGTTCCAATGCATCATCTTCACAACAAAAAGAAAAGACACGGGCGTATGCACTCGTCACCAAGGGACTCTTCCTCTTGGCGATTCTCCCACAATTGGTTGGATTTCCTACGGCTACCATCCCTACTCTGTTGGGAAAACGACTGTCTCGTCTTGCTTCGGGATTTACCCTCTTGGGTTCCGTAGTTGCTTATTGTCTCTTTGATGAAGCAGCATCGAAAGAAGAAGAGTCCTCCACGATGAAAACGCTCCGACGAGGACTGGGACTGGGTGCCGCGCTGCATATTGCACTTGTATGGGCCAAAATCATTGGATTCGATGGTGGAGGATTGCTCTTACCGGGACGAGGACTGTGGAAGGATTATCCGTCCTTGGTCAATGCATCCGGGGCCGCCACCGCGCTCATGATGCTCACATACTCGTTGATTGTGTTTGTGTGTTTTTCGTCTAGCTACTAGCCAGTAGCCAGCTTGGCCGGCCACTGAAGTCATTGCTTTATGTCCTAATCGATATAAGCCTTTTGTCAACAGTTTGTAAGAGCAATAATCGTTTGGCCACTTCCAAATTTTGGCAATTTGATCGACCACCGGGCTGCTCTGATGGCTGCTGCCATGGATGGGCTTTGTCTGGCCAACTCTGCTTTCTTTGCCAGCACACGTTTCTTCTGGCCGATCCGAAAAGAGATACTTAGTTTTTGGTTGCATGTACCAGGTACCAGGTAGTTGACTACATGTAGACCCGTGGTAGCTATGATGGCAAACTCTGACCTGCCAAGTAGCTAGCTGTGTAGCTTCAACGCACCGTACCGGCAGTAATCAGCTTTCTGGACCGTGGGCAAAGGAGCCCTCCGCTGTTATGTAGTTGGATCTTTGCTGAGTCACGTACGGTACTGAAAAAAGCGTTTCGGGAATGCGCGGTGCCGCGGTGCCCCTTTAGAAGCCCGTAAGTCGCGCTATCAACAAAGATTGAAAGAGTGACTGATTACTTTGCTCAATGCTCAGCATAAAGCTTTACCGTGATCTCAATGACCGTGTGTTCACGTGCACACTAGACTTTCTTCTTACTGCTAATGGCCACTATTAATAGTCTACTGAGCTGGCCTGAACAGCTCTATTGGTACAGTATTGGTACTTACATGAACAAGCTACTAGCTAGCTAGCTAGTAGCTAGTACTCAACTGGTTACACTGCTAGCTAGTAGCCTACTGGAGTACTGAGCTGTCCTGGTACCGGTACGATGTACACTGTGGGATGAAAACCAAGAAGTCTTCCGCAACAGCTCAACAACTGACACACGGTGCGAGCTTAAAGTGCGTTAGCTTCTTTTATGCGGCATGACCTCACAATCTATTGATCAGGGTTCGCTAACCAGTCACTAGGGTTCTGGTTATTGGTTAATGGTTGATCAACCAGTCAAACTAGGGTACTGGTTATTGGTTAATGGTTGATCAACCAGTCAAACTAGGGTACTGGTTAATGGTTATTGGTTGATCAACCACTGGTTATAGGTTATTTATAGGTTGATTAACCAATAACCACTGGTTGAACCAGTGGTTATTATCTAGGCCCCAATATGCAGTGCAAGACTTGTGTGCAGTTTGCTTCCACCCCATGCAGTTGCCTAGGTTGCCATAGCCCCAATCAAGTTCATGCAGGTCCCAACATGCAGTGCAAGACTTGTGTGTAGTTTGCTTCCACCCCATGCAATTCCCTGTGCACACCCTAGGATGCCGCATCCCTTTTTCTCTCATCTTCCGCAGCCTTCTCCTCTTCCTTAGAGTAAAACTCAAGTTTTTCCATCATTTCAGAAGTGATGTCCTCCACAAGCTCCTCATTAACGACAAACAGCCTGGACAGTAGCTACCTTGCTTGGACAGTAACTACCTTGCTCGAAGGACAAAACACAGCCTGGACGGTAGCTATCTTGGAGGCAAATACCTAGACAACCAGTCGAATCAACCAGTCGAATCAACCAATAACCGGTAGAATCAACAACTCGAACTTCGAAATCAACCAGTCGATTCAACCAATAACCAGTCGAATCAACCAGTAAAATCAACCAGTAACCAGTCAAATCAACCAGTCGAAAATGTACTGGTTACTGGTTATCGGTTGATCAACCAATAACCAATGGTATTGACTGGTTAGTGGTTTTGGTTGATCCGACTGGTTATTAACCAGTCAACCAGTAACCAAAACCAATAACCAAAATTACTGGTTAGCGAACCAGTATTGATGCCACCAGCTGGCACAGATGCGATCTCAGTATCTAAATCCTACAGAAGAATGCCTTTTGGAATGACTCTTCTGACGACGCGACTGGATTTAAAGTAGCCGAATTGTACATCATCATCCATCTCTGAGAGCTCTCTGAGTCATTCATAACGTGCACCGTAGCACCATACGACCGTATCGTACGACTGTACTATAATTGTAGAGCTCTGTGACTGGAATTATCGGCAAGAGTTGAAGCATTGAGGCATTCTGATTTCTGATGAACACATTTGGGACTCCTAACTCATTTATACGCGTTTTCTTTTCTTGAGAGCCAGTACCACAAGTTTCGGTACTGTACCACTTGGACCACGATTAACAAAATGGTCCAAAAACCCGGGAACCTCTGGGGACTCTGGGGTATCCATCGGTACTGTACTATGATACTAGCAGTACCAGCAAAGAGTACCCGGAAATAATAGTAAATCTGTAAAAAGCCACTGCTCTTGATTTCTGCGGTCATTCTACGAGTTTTCAGAAACAACCCTGAGAAGTGTTCCAGTTCGGTCTGACTGGTTCAAAGAAAGGCGACATTAAGGCATGAGGTGCACTGTGGCACCTTCCCGATTTACAAGATTTACAAAAGTTTCCAATCTTACGTCTGGTGGTTTTTGCTTTAAAGCAATTGAGATGCTTGGCTTTCAATTCCATCAAGAAGCTACGACGTATCAAGAAGCTATCAAGACCAAAGCTCTAGATCAGATGCAACTTACTTGGCCATATTACTTGCTTGCTTTCGAGACAGTGAGTGTTGTACTCTAATATTTTCAGGTTGACAATCGGATTCTGGAGCTCTCAGTCTGGGCAAGTAGCAAGAAACCAGAGCTGCAAGTTTTGCTTTTTTTCACCAAACATTCATAAAGTGATAGCACCAACAGCCCATTATTTCATTCATTCATTTTGAAAGGGAGGAAGAAATCTTGGACCATGGATATCCAAAGACCCACCCTGGTGAGAGTGCCTAGCATCAGGTCTCAACTCACTCTGCAGATCGCTGAAGAGGAGCAAGAGAAGGAGATGCTGGCAATGGCAGTGAGTATGTCCTTGTCTGGTGGTACCAGTAGTAGGAGATCTGCCAAGGGTGCAGCAGTTTCAAGCAAGTGCTCTACTGCAACTTCTGCTCCAAGGCCCAGCTTGCTGGTCAAAGAACCCAGCCTGCGTACACTTCTGTTTCTGGAGGCAGAGCAAGAGAAAGAGATGTTGGAGTTGGCAGTGGAACGATCACTACAAGAAAAGGACGGAAAGCGGGAGAAGACACAACGACGAAGTTGTCCGCCCAGAACTGCCAGTTTGCGGACGCAGCAGTTGTTGGATGAGTTGCGAGAGAAGGAAATGCTAGAGTTAGCCCTGGAACGATCTATGGCAGACCTAGATGCACCGGCTCCACAAGAACTGCTACTGGAACCATCCAAGTCCACCAAGCCCAGTCCTGTCCAACAAGATGTACCGCGCCAACGAACTCGTTGCTTCCAAGAGACAAGTCAGAGGCGTTCCTCTCGTCGTGTTCTGGCGCGATCCATGGCAGACCTAGATGCACCAGCTCCACGAGAACTTCTATTGGAACCATCCAAGCCCGCCAAGTCTAGTCCTGGCCAACAAGACGCACCTCGCGAGGGACACCGTTGCTTCCAAGAAACACGCCAGAGGTGTTCCTCTCGTCGTCTTCTAGACCCGCAACTGCATCAGTCTCCTTGCGCGCCACCACCCATGCTACGGCACGGACGAAGCCTGCAGGTGGAAAGGAGAGCCCCCAGTAGGAGATTTCAACAAGAGCAGATGTCCATGGCAAAGTCCCTGCCCAACTTGTTTGGAAAGGGTAACAGGAACCAGCCATCAGGCGGTCAGGTGAATGGTAGATTTCCCATTATGATTGCCAGCAATAACGCCTCCTCCTCCAGAAGACTCAGCAGCAAGCCCCCCTCCGTGCGTAAGATTGACACACAGGCGTCTACTAAAGCCACACGCAAGGAGGATGACTTTCATGTAATGCAGATTGTTCGTGAACGTGCTCGACGAGCGTCACTGGAGCAGCAGCAGCAAATGCAAGAAAGCCAGCAACGTTCCTCATGGTCCCTCAACAACACTGGCATGCATCCGCAACGATCATCCAGGCCATCACTTTTGTGCGACAGTCCGCAACACCGCCGATCCTCTCGGTCTACTAGTATGATGAGGGAGCTGCCCGTTCTACAACATCGAACCGCCAACGATGTCACGCAAGCCGGCATGCATGCATCACCACAGGGATCATCCAGGGCATCACTTCTTCTCCGTGGGAGTCCCCAGCACCGCCGATCATCTCGGACAGGTATGATGATGATGACCAGGGAGCTGCCCGTTCTACAAACCAAAAAGGACGATGGCTTTCCTGTTGTCACACAAGCGGTCAACACTGGCATGCATGCATCGCCATCACCACGATCATCCAGGCCATCACTTCTTCGTGGGAGTCCACAACACCGCCGATCCTCTCGGAGTAGTATGAGGGAGCTGCCAGTTCTACAACAACAACATGGGACCACCACTACTACTACTAAGAACGACGATGACTTTCATGTCATGCAAGTGGTGCGGGAACGTTCGCAACGAGCATCATTGGCACATGGTTGGACGACGTCACAGAGACCAGTCCGAGTCTCACGAACTTCATCGTGTCCACAACCTTCCAACAACAACAAGTCCAAGGATGCACTGCCTGGATGGGCCAAGCCAGGAGCTTATGCAGGGGCACCAGGAGAAGATTTTCTTCGCTCCAACACACTCCATTACCATACCGTTGGACTTTCTGGTAGTCGGGCTGGGAAGGGCCCGTAGAAACCTTATAGGTTAGGTTCAATAACATTACTTTAGCTAGCTGCGGTTTAGGGATTACGTACGCATGTTTCCTTCGTCAATACAAGTAGCACACTGGTGGCTGTCAACTAGCTAGCTGGCCAACAAGGGCAGAGAGACCCCGTACAAGCGTTGGCCAAAGAGCAAGTGTAGCTATCATAGTTGGATGTTCATAGTTCAATACACAAAATGGGACAAACTGAGCCCACCATACCAAGGTCGAGACCAAGACCATGCCGCCGAGATGAAGAACAAGGCGGCAAGTGAACCAGAAGGAGGATGGCTTGCATGTATGTGATTCAGGTGGTTTTGTCGGAGAAGCAACGTGCTCAGTGGGCATCATTAGTTTCGAACCCACCGCGGTCACCCCCCCCAAAAAAAGCGGCAGCCAGATGCCATCGACCATCATCAGGAAAGTCCAAGAAGCCATCGTTGGGAGATGATATTATTATTAGACCTGGAGCATACGCCGGAGCCCCCGGAGCCGACTTGGGTAGCCAGTGCGTTCCAACAGCGGACTTCGAATACGATGCACGTTTTTGTAGGCTTGCTGGCTTTCTATAGGTCCACCTGATCGAAACCACGATCTTCGCCCCAACGGACCATAGATCGAACGTCGATCCATCATAGTACTGTAATAACCGGTAGCACCATGAGCATAGCAAGTATTGGTACAGACGACGATGACAGCCTGTCGAGCCTTCCTCGAGAGACAACTAGTACTATGAATACTAGTACTATTATGAATACTAGTATGGATGGTACCAGTATGAGGAACTCGTCCTCTCGACGAGAGAGCACGCAATTGCTGCTGGAAGAAGCAGGTGCCGCTGCCATTGCCGCCGCCGAGAACAATCAGGACACGGACAGTATCTTGTCGGAAGAAGAAGAAGGCCACGAGAGTACTAGTAGTTTCCAAGTGCATAATCATCCTCCTGCTCCTCCCAATATTGAAGACTTTCGAAGAATGTCGGCAGCCACGTTTCATTTCATGCAAGAAGCGTCCATCGAACGGACGCTCGGCTTGCCGCCGCGACAAGACTTGTTGTTGTTGTCGTCCTTGTCCGCCAGTACTCGTATTACCGGTAGTAGTGAACGTGAACGTGAACAGCAAGAAATGGAACCAACAACAGAAGAAGAAGAAGAAGAAGAGAACCACGACGACAGTTTGACCGAAAGCAAACAGTCTTGGGATGGTGTCTTGGTGGGAAGAATGGAAACTCAATCATCCGAGACATCCTCAGTGGCAGCAGATGGCATTGGCATTCCCTGCAGTAGTATGGAAGAAAGCTTTAGTGAACGAGGACTCTTTCATGCATTTTCAGCATCAGATACCACCAACCGACAAACTACCAGTAATACCGGTAGTGTCAGTGTCATCATTGACCTTATCAATGACGATATCTCGGTAGACAGTGCACCCAGTCTCGGATCCACTGCCTCTGCTACATCTACTACTGGTAGTAATAACCCCACCATCCCACATGTACATGTACAACAACAATCCACATCATCATCTACTACCGGTACAGTGCAAAGCAACATGGACATTCTGTTTTCCCTCGACGTCATTGACGAACAAGACAAAGCCGCCATACAACATCTCCAACAACAACAACAACAAACAACAAACAAATCATCATCAACAATCATAGACCAAGATACACTCCTCCTATACCACATATTCTCCGACTTTTCGAAACCCTCCATATCCATTCACATGGTGCAACAAATACTACTACTACATGTCGAAGAAGTCGAACTGCCCAAAGATATCATTGTCAATGTCGTCCCAAAGTCCAAGGTACTTTCCATCATTTTGTGTCGGCACCATCCAGTCCTACTCAAAACGACAAAACCATTCTTGTTGGCATTCTTTCGAATACTCATTCGACTTGTCACCAACGAAAATGACCAACAATACAATGAACGATCCTTGATCACTTGCAACTGGAAACAACCACCACAAGAACAAAATAATCAAGACGATGGGCGACTCAAAACAGCATCCCCGCTCATGGGGGCAACGGGGCAAAACAACATGGGGGAACGAAGAACATTCGGGATGATGATGGATGGGGGGCGAGACTACAAATCCAGGAGGGACGTACAGATATTATATTCCATGGTGCGATTACAACAGTGTGGTTGTTTTCTTGGAGGAAACAACACTAGCAGCAGCAGCAGTGACAAATATTATGCCGCCAGAAAACTACTCCGACTCTTTGATTATATTTCAAAGAGTCGTCGAAAGCAGCCATCATACAGGCACTTTTACTTGCTGGCTCCACTGGCAAGATTGATTGGACTCGTCTGCTCTGCTGGAGTCTCGGAACGAGTCTTGCGGAAAATGATTTCTTTGGCATCCACGGCATACCCACCCGTAGCACGGTTGCTCCTGGTGCGGGCGCTACATGCCGCCACCGAAGGAGCATCACGTAGTATATTCTTCATGGGGAAAGCATCCATTAGCAACTTCTTCTCCTTTGGGGGCGGAAAAGGGCTCAGCAGAACCATCAGTGGGCTATCGTCATGGCCTTTTCGAAATGACTTTGCCATGGCCATTTGGTTTCGAGCCGAAACGTTTATTGTTGGCAACAACAACAACAACCAAGAGGGAAAATCCGACCATCCCGCCTTGCTCAGTGTATTGGCGGAAGATGGCGGCGGAATTGAAATATCCATGATGTCACTGGACGACGACAACAACAACAACAACAATAACAACAACAACAATAAACCAAGCAATAATAATGGTGAAACGTCCACGTCGGCGGCGGTTCTCGTGGTATCCATCTATGACTCGGACCCCAACGGAATGGAGCAAGTCGAAGTCCAACGCCTAAGAGTACCCGGATGCATCTTGTTGCCAAGAGTATGGTACCATGTGGCAGTGCGGCACACCAGATCCCGAATGAAAGGAGTCTTTTCGCTTTCCACACGACAACAAGTCTCCATCATGCTCGATGGAAAAATTATGCTTACCGAACCGCTCAGTTTCCCAAGAGTCTCCGATGAAGACTTTCACAGTGACAACAAGGCAGCGGCCTTTCTGCAAAAAGCTGTGCGACGATCCATAAGTCGGTCTGGGCTCTCCTTGACAGTGGCACTGGGGCGAACCTTTGAAGGACAAACAGGTGCGCTGTACTTGTTCCACGAAAACGTTTCGGATGCCACATTGCGCGCACTCTATGATATCAGTGCGGGGACTGCGGGAACAGTTGTGAAGAAAGCAACCGGCCGCGCCACAGGCTGGGATTCACGTCGCGGTGATATTGTGAGAAAGTCAAAACTCCTGGATGTCTCGAATATTAAACGAGATGACGCAGAGGAAATCGTCGTGAGCCAACGCCGTCATTCCACCGGAGATCTTGTGCTGGACTGGGTGCCCGCCACCAGCGGATCCGTGGCTGTGATGGACTTGGGCGAAAGCGAAGACCAAGAATTCAATCTGGAACTACCGACTGATCTTTCAAGAGCTGCCTTCTCGTCAAAGCTCTTTCTCGTGTGGGACCCTAGCCGAGCAATTGCCAACATGGCAATCGAATTGCACATTGGGGCCCATGTGAAAACCACGGACGGGGGTGTTCAAACGTGGCAAGTCGATGGTGCTCAAGACGCTATCAGTAGCATTGGCGGGGTACAAGCTTTGATACCTCTTTTCCAGTCCTTGCTGTGCGGAGAGATCGAGAATGCGTGGATTCATGGGGAGGAGGACGACGATACGTCTGCTCTGGGAACCTTCAGTAGTGAGGGCTTATGGTCAATGATTCCAGATCTTTTGTGCCTCGTTGCCAGCTTTGTTGAAGACCACGGTGAAAATGCTCGAGAGCTGCTGCGATGCGGAGGGATTGACGTCATGGAGAACTGTATTCTGACAAGCAGAAGAATTGCTATCGGCAGACCACAACAACAAGCAATGTCATTATTTGGTCCGTTGACAGCGTATCCAAAGTTGTCTCATCTTCTGGCAGAATCACTTTTCAAATTACAATCAGGCTGTGCGCACTACCTGGGTTTGGAGGGGAAGTCTTTCTCTCGCCTCTTGTTCAATACGCCACTTTGGTTTAGCAATGGTGACAAGAATTTGTCAGTTTGCCTGGACATCGCGCTCCTCCCTGTCCTCTCGTCCATAGCAAGAACGAATCCGGACAAAGTCAGAGATTGCATTGGAATCAAAGATCTGGTTTTCTTGATCAAAACCTACATCATGACCGGAGATGGGACCAATAAGGTGAGCCTTTAACTATGTGTGAGTGCAATGAATTGCTGGGGGGATTAAATTGCTCACAGGATGTCGCAGGCAGACCACAACGCTCACCAACAGGACAGTTTCAACATTAGTGAAAGGCATCATGTCTGCGACGTTTTGTTTGGTATTGTCTTCGAAGTTCTTGGTTCGGAAACTGTCCCTCGCGACCTCTCGCCGTTTTTGAATTTGCTGTCTTTCTGCCTGGACTCTGAATGGGACGAATCGTCGCAGGAGCTTGGCGAGAAAAGCTACATCAATAGAACGGGAATCAGGCAGGAGCGGTACAATGTTGCCGTGAAGGGTTGCTCTGTTCTCCTTCTGTTGCTCCAGATTAAACCAGTGGTACCGAACCTGTTTGAAAGCTTCGCGCACTGTTGTGGCAGCGTCGAAGCAGCAGCGGGGTGGATTTTGTGTGCTGTCGTCAACAGCTTTGATGATACCTTGAGAGCCTTGGGTGTACGATGCATCGTTGCGTTTCTGGAGCAAACTGCAAAGACGCCAGACGCGCCGTTGACAGTTGGGTTGGTGCCGGAGCCTGAAAATGGCCCAGCAAGTGAAGTGGCAAAGATATCCAATCGCAGGATTCAGACGATAATCTCGGTTGGCAAAGGTCTCGCTGGAATGGGGCCGGGAGTACGATCTATCGTGGTGCCGCCGTCTAGATTGACTGCACGGGTCACCTACAAGTTACTGTGGCATCTACATAGAGGACACCGGTCAAGGATTGGAGAGAAGACATATTCAGCGTTGATTCATCTTATTGCTGAATCCGGTGGCAGTTCTATGTCGTCGCTCACCTCCAAAGCGTTTGCAATGGATAAATTTGTGGTCCCCGATGATGTTCTAATTGGAGGATACCGTATGAGCCAAGACTTCACCTCTCTGCTGGTTGAACAATCATCTTTCTCGACGACTGGCAGATCGTTGCGTGATGGACTTGGAATTAGTACAGTTGTGCGACTTCTTCAATACCTTTCCAGTGAAATGAAGGATCGTCTTCTTGCAGAGTTTCTGAAGGCATCTAACCAAGATATTGCAAGCGTGGCGACACTTTCCGCTTTGCCCGACTGGCAACCTTGCATATTTCTTCTGATTTCTGAAACTCTGGAAAAATTAAGCGCAAGCCGCCAGAAGGAAGGCGGTGGCGACGAATGTTACCCAAACGACATTGACCCTGTCACGGAGCACGAGACTGCTGCTACCTCTCACATAATTGAGAACTCCGCCACTGTTGAGCAACGTCTTGATCTGTGCCTTGACCTTTACGCATCTTTGTTGGGGCACAGTGTCAGAGAAGGGGGCGACAAGGTATGTTGCGGGAACAATCCATCGAAATGTCGACCTTGATGAGCTGACTAAATATATCAATGGTTTGTTTCTGTGCAGGCATTGCACGCAGTTGAAGAGGCCGCATCTCTCCAGCGTGTTTGTCTGAATGGGCACGATGTTTTCTGTTTGATTCTCAGCCGTTTGGTAGCCGATCTGGGAGCACGAGGAACCATTCTGCAGAAAGGTCGGGCATTGACAGGAGAAGAAGATCTGTTGAAACGAAGTGCTCGACTCGTTACCGATGCCATTCTGTCAAGCGGGACCGAGGGCTTGGACATGAAATCTGCTGTTCGGTGTTGGCGTTCGTTGAGGCACCTTGCCGCAATCACCGTTTCTGTCATTACCAAGAGCGGGTAGGTCTAATCGATCTGACTGTGGAGCTGTACATACACCCCCTCTTCAGTTTGTCTCATTCGTTTCCCTTTCCGTGTGCGACAGCTTTGGCGTTGCCGAGCTCTTTGACTACTGCAACCTAGAGGCTTCGGCCATTGATCGGATTTCAGGAGGATTGAATGGAATACGCCTTCCGGATACTGGACTTCCGGCTATCACAGCACAGGAATATCGCATTTTGGTGGAAGAGACCGGACTCAACAAAAAGGATGCAACAAACGGTGTAGAGATCAAACGTCGGGTTTCCCTGACTCTTGCCTCACAAATTCTTTCTCTTTTGGATGCATTCATGTTTCCCGATTCCTTAGATGCGTCGCTTCCTCAGTCACAGCTGCATGGGCTCGACTTGGTCCGCAACTGTGAACCAAGGCTTGCTGCACAAGGTCCGGTGATTTCATCGACAATTCGGCTGTCTCTTTTGCTTCTGGCCCATTTGGAACCCTGCGGGATGAAGCTGCTGCAATGCTCCAGCCGTCTGCGTTGCCTATTGCACTGGGCGCTCGAGCTGATACGGGAGGCGACTGCACTGGAAGGTTATTCAGCAGCCTTTCACAAACTCACGGCTCCACTTGACAGGCTTGTCTTGGCCATAGTTCTACAATCTCATCGCACACTCTGCCGCTGCTCGACATTGCTTGCTGAAGTTGAAAGAAACCCAGAAAAATATTTCAAAAACAAGGAATCCCAAAAGAAGTACTACCGGCGAATATTGAGGGTTGCTCTGGAGCTGAGAGACATTGTTTCCATGGCATTTCGGGGACGAAATGAAGTGTTACGAGCTTCTCTAACGACGTCAGCATATGATGCCCTTCGAGCCAGTCTAGAGTCACCAAGTGCTTCGAATAGAAACGTGTCCAAGGAGATGTTGATGCGTTCTTTTCTTTTGATGGACTGGGTTGTTAGATTTCAAGATGTTGTTGTGTGTGGAAAGTATGCAATTCCGGAGCAGATCGATCTTGGAGCAGGTATACAGACTTCAAGGGAAACACCGCAAGGAATGCTTGCAATCCAGGAGCTCTACGATGAATCCAGCGCAATCGTTGATGATTTCGAGAAGGCACTGAACGGCTCTTTTGAAAAATACTTGCAAGCACAAAAGAAGTGGGCGGAAACATCGCATGTTAGGGATTTAGAATATCAGGGCGATGAAGCTGTAAAGCGTCTAGCATCAAACCATCAAGCGGACTTGACAGAGAACACCAGAGCCGTGAACATTCGAAGCCATGGGGCCAACTCCAGGTGGAAAGGTATTCAGCGGAAAGTTGCGGAGCCTTGGAACGGTGGCATGCATTGGAAGCTTGCGAAACACACCGATCGTCTTGGGCAGCGAGTGTTGCTCGTGAGGAACCGCACTTTTGACAATCACGAAGAAGCTAGCTATGATCTCATGCTGGGAAAGGAACGAGAGAAAGAGGAAAAGGCGAGGGAGGCTCGTTTACGCCAAAAAGAAGAATTAGCAGAGGTTATGCGGCGAAACACAGAAGCAATCGTACCATATGATGCTGCAGGTTTGTCATGCACTGATGATGAATCGGGCAATGTCAATGACAGTGATACAGAATCTTCAATTGACTTTACTGAACCCTCGGAAGAAGAGGGCGAAGACATCGAGCTGATTCCAGGAACAAGAACTGTTGGTGGTGCAACTCCAGAGGAAGAGTGGGACAAGATAGAAGCAGAGGATCTCGAGGACGATGGATGGGCAAGGGCGTTCATTTGGTCCGATTTCGAGTCTGTTGTGGCTCGATTTGAATCTGTCACCATTGTCACCCTCCAGTCATTGATCGAAGGCAAGCTCTTGCTTACTACACATGGGCTGTACTTTCGTCAGATCGGGGAGGAAATAAGTGTCATGTCAAAAGAAGCGACCTCCAACAGCGACACTACTCGGACTGCATCGACTTCTGAAGGGAATGATCGTCGATGGCGTTTGAGCCGCCTGACTGAGATTCTGGGGAGACGCTACATGCTGCGAGCGCAAGCTCTTGAGTTATTCTTCAGTGACAGCCACGAACTGTTCCTCAATTTTGCAGGAGGGACGAAGGAACGAGACCGGTTCCACGCCAAGTTGCGAAATAGCTGCAAGGTAAGCCCCAGTGACTCCTTGGAATTTGGGTGCCGTTCGCCGTGGCCGACTAAACTGTGAATGCTCCTTTTGTTCAGGTGCCAATGCTTAGGTCTCCCAAGAGTCTCAACCCCCGCACTGTGTTTAAGCGATCAAGGCTCTCGGAATTGTGGAAGCGGAGAAAAATCACAAACTTTGAGTATCTGATGGAGTTGAACAAAATGGCTGGTCGCACGTTCAACGACATCATGCAGTATCCCGTGTTTCCTTGGATCTTATCTGACTACGAGAGTGACACTATAGATTTGAATGATTCAAGGGTCTATCGCGATCTGACAAAGCCAATTGGGGCATTGAATCCAAATCGACTCGCGCAGCTGCTTGAGCGATACAATGAATTTGCAGATTTTGGTTTCCCCGAACAAGAGCGATTTCTATATGGAAGCCACTACTCCTCTCCTGGGGTTGTGCTTCACTACCTCATCAGGCAAGAGCCATTCACAACCATGGCAATTGAGCTTCAATCAGGGCGATTTGATTGCCCTGATCGATTGTTCTTTGATATTGCCGAGAGCTGGAAAAGTTGCAACACCCTGTCGTCTGACATGAAAGAGCTCATTCCTGAGTTCTTTACTTTGCCGGAGATGTTTCTGAACACCAACAACTTCCCACTTGGTAGCACTCAAAGTGGTCATCCAATCGACAATCTCCGATTGCCTCCTTGGGCCAAAGGATCTCCTTATGAGTTTGTTCGCATTCATCGAATGGCCCTTGAATCCGAGTTTGTGTCTCAGAACCTCAATCACTGGATCGATCTCATTTTTGGATATAAACAACGGGGACCGGCAGCAGAAGCTGCACATAACGTTTTCCATTACCTCAGCTATGAAGGGGCGGTGGATCTCGATAAAATTGCCAACGAAGTGGACAGGGCAGCAGCCGAAAGCCAGATCCAGAATTTTGGACAAACTCCAAGCCAGGTCCTTGTAAAAGAGGCACATCCGAGTCGAGGAAACCCAGAAGAGTGCTGGAAACCCCTTATACACCATGTAAGCATCGCGATTGTGCACTGCACGGACGGAAACCCCATTCATGTTGTCCTTGCTAACTCTACCAAACCTGCCAAACGCCTTTAGTTCTCTGTAGCAAAGCGTCTTCGGTGTTACACACCCTCCAAGCAATTCGCAGCCAAGAAGAACGCTCAGGCCCAGCGAAGTGCAGTGGCTAAGATCCACGTGTTTTCAGATCTGGTTGCTGTGATCTACGACGATTTCACAGTGGGAACCTACAAGTGGGCGCCCACGAACAAGCATTCGCGACTAAAGCCAGAAAAATTGCGTCACTTGTCAAGGCCTGAATTGAGTCGATCTCGTTCAGTGATCAAACGAGGTACTGTTTTGCCTCCGTCTTCTGCCACGGAGATTGGTAATTGGTCCTTTGTATTTACAGTGGGTGGGAGTGCCAAAGAGGAACTCAAACGAAAGGCAACTGTTGCATCCTCTCGACTAATTGCTACCAAGACAGAAACACTGAGTGCCGCTGAAGCTTCAGGTTACATTTTGGGTTGCAGCTTTTGGGACAATGAAATCAAACTTTACAGCAGCGCAGGGTGCAAACTGCTTTGCGGAGATAACGGAGGTCATCGTGGTGCTGTGCGTTGTTTGGCGATGAGCGATGACGGTGGTCTCATGGTATCTGGTGGACAAGACGCTACCTGCCGAATCTGGGTTGTAGACCACCCGGACATGGCAATTGCCTTGTCGGATGGATATGTGCAGACAGCTTTGGGGAGTCGCAACGATGGAGATCAGCTCCTCAGCTGTTGCCGTGTGCTTTGGGGGCACGAAACTGCCATTTCTTGCCTGGATCTGTCCTCTGATCTGGATGTAGTCGTCAGCGGTGATATTGGTGGGATCATCTGTGTGCATACATTGAGACTTGGCGAGTACATCCGATCATTTCGCCCGCCACCACTTGGTGGTTCCAAGCCATCTGGAGTATCGAAAATTGCCCTTTACAAGTACGGGAGACTTGTTGTTCACATGGATGACGGGGGGCTTCACACCTACACGATAAATGGGGTACGCCTTGCTACAGTGGATGCTGGGGAGAAGCTCAACGAAATGACTATCTGCGGTGGTGGCGAAATTGTTGTGACCGGTGGTGCCAAATGTCACGTGCTGATCCGAAGTGTAGTCAACTTGGAGATTTTGTCAATGCTGGATTTGAGTCGGCACGGCCCAATCCGTTGTATATCACTGACTCCGGAAGACCTGAATCCGGCGCCTCAGGTGATTTTCATTGGCAGTGACGATGGCATGGTGACGATTGTGGACGAGGACCCCAGTTATTCTGGAGCTGATACCACAGAGGCACAGTCGTTTTGAAAAGAGTTCTCCAAGTACAAAATGGAGGAGCATGATTCGAGTTGAGTTCCAGCGATAAGTAGTAACGTCTAGCTAATGTATTCTGGGTGGTTTGGATGAAACCCCACATTTGCCTGACAATCTAGCCGGCACTAGCTAGCTGGAAGAGCCAGCTGATAATCAAATCACCGAAGATACCAATTTACTCCTCCGAAGATACCAATTGGTATGTGCATAAGTGCTGGTTCCTGTATGCTTTTTTAAATGAGAAACATGACTACTGTCCTGAATTTCGACTGTTCTTTGCTTAAGCCTGGCCCCGGCTGGCTTCCGTAGATAATTTCCCTACTCTAAACCCCCTTATACTACTGTACGATAGCTGGCTACGAGATTATTACCCTGCGCATCTCCGGACCTTTGCGCCAAGCTTGGCCGAAAGCACCATCTAGCCAGCTCTACTAGCTTGAATGGTTTACGACTATCACAGAACCCATTTCCACCTCCCTCATGCAAGAGGACGAGGAGTCTCCCCTCCAGCATTTATTCCATGGGTCCACTGAAAGCGTTCTTTTGGAATTGCATCCTTGTCGGGATAGTGGCGGTGACTTGGGTTTGCCGGCCTTGTTTGGTCCTTGGTTTTAGTAGTTCTGCTTCCAGCCAAGATAACCCTTATGGGTCAGGTCGCATACCGGTACCGGTAGAGCAACAGTGGCTTTTGCTAGAAGAGCAACTAGTCCCACCGACAAATCCACCACTGGTCATTGACAGTAGTAGTGACGGTTGGACCGAACAATTATTGGATCCTACTTTGCCAACATTGGCAAGAGAACGAAATGGATGGTGTCTCTACAGCACTCGTCTCTGGTTGGCACTGGAAGTCAAGTGCATTCCCTACCAAACGATTCTTGTGGAGTATCACCAAGATACCTACGATGGAAGCTACGACCAAGATGCCTACCATCGGCTGCCATCCTTCTTACATGAGCAGCAGCTGCCCCTTCTTTCCTTGCCCCCTAATCCAACCGAATGGCTCTCGGGTGGCACGGAAGATTCCAGTTGGGAACTGCTCCAGAAGATTGAAGACGCATTTCCCGATTGTAGACCGATGATCCCACCCGACAACAACACTGCGGATAGTAGTATGCAGGATGCTACTGCCAAGGCATACCAAACGGCACTCCCGACGGGGGCACGGTCATCTCCCCGAGCAGGATGGTTGTTTTCAAAAGTGGAAGGCTATCGGCTGGATGCCTTGCCGCGGGAATCCTTCGAGAGGTTTCTCGATATTGCAGAAGAAACCATCCGTGGTCCTCTCTTTGCAGGACCGTCCTTGTCACTGGCCGACATTGTGTGGGCACCCTTGTTGGAACGCTACCACGTGCAGCTGCCCTCGTTGCACCAGGACCTCTTTTTGCTGCTGGGCAGTACCAACGAGTCTCAGTCGCGTCGTTGGCCTAAAGTACAACGCTGGTACCAGGCAATGATGACTGTACCGGCATATGCCTGCCGTGTCAAAGGAGATGCCGTGTCCTGGCACAAAGTGTTGAGTCGAGAACCGTGGTGGCCGTCTCCCGATTTGTGGCATCCACGAGATACAGTGGGCCCAAAGGGAGAATTGTACTTGACGAGCGAGGAATGCAGTCAGCTGGATGAAGAACAACAACAACAACAACAACAACAATCCACGACGCTTTGGAAAGCGTACAGCGAGGCAAGACATCATATGTCTCCCAAAGGACCGGCAGGTCAGGCGGCACTATTGATCTTACAAAACCGAGCCGCCATTTTGGAAGATGCCAAGCGGTGGATGGAGGAGGAAGGTTATAACGACGAACACTTGAAAAACAATGACCTCGATGCTGGACTGTGCGCGATTGTGACACGGCTGTCAAACATGGACAACGCTGGTGGTGGCGATGATGAGACCCTGACGCAGTTTGAATGCGAAGAAGAATCCACAACTGTGCCAATTATGATTATTTTGCTCCAGTACCTGGATAGTCGAGTTTGTGTCCCACGCGATATGGGCGCACTGTCGGCGGCAGCTCTGCGCCGTCTCAAGGCGACCTTTGTCGGTTGAAAGTCTCAGAATTGAATGTTACCCACTGTGAATGTGGGGAGCTTTGGGATTCTTCCAAACTACACAATCAGTGCATACCCGCCGCCGGATGCACAAGGAGAGAAAGAACTGTTGTCTACTATATTCAATTTCTACAGTTCAGGTCGACCAATTCTGATGGAAGATCTCGGCGTCATTCCCCACCTGGTTCGCAACAGAGAAAACACGCAACAACTTGCTACGGACATCCTTGTTTTTGACCTACACACAGCCGAGCACCTTTAGCATGAATTCAAAGGGGCGGCTCTCCTGGTCAATTTGATTGAACGTTCCAACCATGAATACTTCCTTGTCGGGTGAATAAAAGGAAAACGAGGCATTGGCTCCACTGTGTCCATAAATCGGAGGAATATCAAAGCAGTACAGTGTCATCCATTTGGGCAGTTTGAAGCGCATCAATCCGTAGCCGTATTGGAGGGGCGGGACAAAGACAGTGTTCCACTGTGTTTGATTTTGCTCGTGTTGCTGGTGCTTTTTATTGTCAAACAACTTACCATCAAAGTAAGCCCGCAGAAAGACCAACATGTCGTCCATTGTGGATACCACGGCCCCATCCGGTTGAAAAGATGACATGATTTTGCCAACATTGTCGAGTTCCTTCTCCTTGTAAAAGAAATTCATGGGTGGCGTACGATCCTTCGCAAGCTTATTAATGTCAAACACGTAGGTATCCGCGCTGAGCCCGAGTGGTTGAAAGATGCGCTCTTGGAAATTTTCTGCAACGGACTTTTCCGTCACGCGTTCGATAATTTCACCCAAGAGCTGCCAGTTGGTATCGGAATAGAGGGATCTCTTTCCACCCTTGGCGGATGGTTCAAAGACGGGGGTGATTTGTTTGGCCCTGTTGAGATAGTCCATTCGAGTCCACTCGTGATCTTCGTTGGCATGGAAACTATCCAGCACACATTTCCCTGTTGTCTTGTCCTTTTGCAAAAAGTAATCGGGAATTCCCGATGTTTGATGGAGTAGTTCGTGAATCTTGATCTCCGCGCTGTAGTCCTTTCCCTTGTAGACATGGATCTTATCGATCGTTTCTGCAGGCAGATACTGAGCCATGCAATCGTCCAGACTCATCTTGCCCTCGTCAACGAGCTGGAATATGACAGTGGACGTCATTAGTTTGGTTTGACTGGCGATAAAGAATGGATCTTTGGTCGAGATGGAAGTGTCGCTTCCAGCGCATTGGCGAAAATCGAGTTTGGATTTGTCTCTGGACTGCACACCCAAAAGAATTCGACGCGAGTTCTTTTTCTTGGCTTCGGCCTGCAGCAAAGATTCTAGCTTCTTGACGCTGTCAGTGCCTTGATTCGGTGTGGATGTGGATGATTTCATGTTGATGATCGAGTTGTTTTATTTTGTGAGGAGCTTTCGGATCTTTGGTTTCCGGGGGTGGCGAGTGGAAGATCGGCCCATGCAGGGAGCACATGTCGGTCAGCAGTAAACCATACCCCAAGTTGGTACTAAGTTCTTCTAAGTAATTTCACTGGGACTCTTGACAGTTACATTAATTAGACAAACCGTAAATCATCTAAACTTGGTACCACGGTACCGTGTTACCAAGTTTAGTCATCGCAAAGGGTCTCAGTGGATTTATTGCCGAAAATGGTTTGCATATGAGTGTGTTCCCCACAGAGAGTACCAAGCTATTGGAGCTCAACTTGGTACCTTTTTTGCTCTTTTTAATAGTTATTTTATTGGTACCAAGCATTCTTGGTCCATGGACCCAGTTTTACTTTTTCATTCCCAAGCCATCTTGGAACCTGTACCAAGTTGCTAGTTAGATACTATCATAGCCTAAATACTTCTTGGCCATCACTTGTACTTATAGGTCGGACTCCACATTGTTGTTTTCAGTTTCTTGGTACCTGAGAGTTCCTAAGTATGTAATTGACCCTTATGTAATTTTTCCTTTGAACTTGTTACCTCCCCTAGGGCCAAGTTTGCCAAAATCTTGGCACCTCCCCTTGGTCCCCTTGGTACCACCAATTTAACTGTTTTATCTGTGTCTTGGTACCCGGACCAAGCAGAGCACCAAATGACCAAGTGAAACTTCTTAAACCTTTTTGCCTTTTCTCTAATTCCAGAGTTATTACCCACTGTACTCCCAAGATTTTTAAATTACTTGATTCACACCAGCGTCTTGGGACATTCTTAAGTAAACTTGGTTTAATCTTGCACCTAGTTGGAACTTTGTACCATTATCTTCTTTTTCCTGTTGCCAATCCCAACCGGGAACAAAATTTCCGATGTTGCCAAAATTTGGCCAACATAACCTAATCCAAGCCAATCATATTTTCTCAAATTCCAGAAAACAACAACAACAACTCAACAACAGCAACCAACAACAACAGCAGCCAGCCAGCAATCAACCACGCTTTTGCCACAACAGTAGCAAACAACAATCAATAACCAAGCAACAGTGAAGCTGGCAGTCACATTGGTTCTCTCTTACAAGTACTCATCAGGCAGCTTCCCTGTTCATTCTGACTACTGTGTTCTCTGTGTTCCTACTAGCTGTTATAGCTGTCAAGAACAATGGAGGTCGATGACACCAACATCAGTACAAGAAGGATGTGATGATGATCTCCGACAATGGAACCCTCTACAAGTCAGACAAATCACTACCGTCCCTCTAGAGTTTTCTTTTGACAAGCTCCAACAAAGCAGAATCCACCTTCAATAGCTGGCACGATCGACTATGCTAGTTTCACTCTTCCCTACCCACGTGGACACGGAGTTGACTTTGCAGTAGAATGCAATCCCATGACATTTGCCAGAGCATTCTTTGATGGCAAGAAAATTGGAGCAGATGATTCCATTGGCACAAGGATGAAAGTTGAACATGTCAAGGTCAAAAGACTCTTGAAGCTGCGTGCAAGGCTGTCTCAGAAATCACCAATTGCAATGTTTCATTTTGGACCAAGGACAAGAAGTCCCCAGGGATTGCACTTTCCAGAGTCCGTGGGCTCAATGGGAATGACTTGCAAGTTCCACTGTACTGCACCACGTGCATGAATCAAAAAACCCCAACAACAACAATATGCGCCCTGTGTGTCCTCCATTGTACTCCAAAGAACAACCCAAAGGAATCATACACATGTCTTACTCAAGAGTTCAAGTATTCAATCAATGACAGCACTCTCAATAGTACTCATTCCCACCAAGAGCCAAATGAAAATTCTGCTACAATCAATCCCACCAATGATTCAATGCTTATGTATGCTGAAATCAAAATGTTGGTCCCCCACTCCCACATTGGACAAGACAAAATTTCTGAATACAGAAGTGATAAGAGACATGCCACAGCAGAATTCTCCACCAACTTTGCACTTGGAGATGCATTTGATTACGCCGTTGAGCAACTTGGGGTACGGGGTGCACTTTCCACTGTGACTATATCAGATGGCAACCCAAAGAACAATCTCCAATTGCTTCCAGGTTTCTCCTTCATTAATGTGGGAGATCTCAATCATCAAAGTGACGACAGGCAGTATCTCCCACTTCATCCAAGTATCAGTACGACTGGTTCAAAAATGTCTATTCCCAAGAATCTTGTCAAGGATCACTGCTCTGACGATTCATTCTCTGCGTTCCTTGCCAGAGTGTTCTTCCTCATTTGCATCTCATTCGGCATTGAGAAAGAAATGTGCCATCCTCATTCGCTTCAACAGTACAGGAACCCATGATTCTTTGTTGAAGAGAGGAAACATTGGGACGAAACAGCGCAACCTTCGTTCTATGAGGTGGATCCCCAATCAAAACTGGCACATGTATGTGGATTAAGAAACACTTCTGGCAGCTGGGGCCCAACCAAAGCTGTCTCCACAACCAAACCATTCCTCTACCAATTTACTCAGCAACAAGCCTTCTCACCAGATTGTTCACTATGATGCTCCCAATTTGAGGGAGGCAATGAATGATCCCCATCATGAGCTGTACCAGAATCAAGAGAATGCATTGACCCTTCCCGGCTCCGTGATCATTCCCATTCTTCAAGATCAATCTCGGCGTGTCTACATTCGAGGACCAAACAATCCACTTGATATGCTTGTGTATGAACAGAGCATTTGACAAACTTCACATTGGTAACCTGATCCTGTGATTCGCGTACGATGTACTGCTTCAATCCCCGTTCTATTCCTGCCGACCAATCAGATATGAAGACTCTTATTTGGAGATCCCTTCCTGTAAAATGCCGGACAACATCTTTGTAGGCACTCAGAAGTGCATAGACTGCTGCACCTGACTCGCTCAATGCTATTCCATGGCCCAGTGGGATGGCCTTTCGAGTGACAAGAAGAGGTCGATTTCGATGATGGATTCCCACGTCGATCGTACTCAGAGACAAGAGAACTGTTGTGCTGGAACCACATCGATGAATCTTGAACTTTCCGTCGATGATGACAACTTGCATATGACCATGGGTGGCTGAGGCAAGCAGTTTGTATATGATCCATAAGTGTCCCGGACAGATAGTGACAAGACAGTTCTTCCCCTGTGAGATTTCGTCTCCAGAAAATGTAGAACCATCGAATAGTCCATCTGTGATGGAAACAGTGAGCATTTGACTCTTGCTTGGGAAACCATAATAGGAGACAAAAGATTCTAGGGTATCCCAAGTGACATTGTTTCCTGCAGATTCAGTACGGGAATACTGACTGATATTGCATCGTGCTGAAACATAATTGGCAAAGTGGACAGTTCCTGTAGGTGGCGCATCTCCCCCTCTGGAAAAAAAAACCCCCCTTCCCCCCCCATTTTGGGTTTCCTGTGCGTGTCCTGTTGATAGTCGCACTTAGTCTTGATTAAACTCTGCGCTAGGTGCATTCCGATTGTCCCCATCATAACACCAATCCACCAACTCCGTGACGATGGCCTGCATGCCAGCTGAATCAAGCATGGAACAAAGTAGTCAGACTAGTATAAGAGATAAACCAACTGGAAGGTGTTCTCGTGACCATTTGCTCCACAATAGCTTCAATGTGATCAGATAGGTTAACACTGTTGAACTCTTCATTGGGAAGAAAATGTTGTTGAACTGCCTTTGATAGGCCAGATTGTGCAAAGAATGTTGCTCTGTCACCACCTTCAGAGACTTGCTTAGGGAGAACAATGCGCAGACGAATGGAACAAGCTCCTTGATTGTTACAGGAACAGAAGGCAACTTTTCCTTTCTTTTCATTAGTGCCACTGCTTCCACCGACATACCTGGCTTTGGCACTCTTGTGGAATGTTAGCACTCCACCGTGAGGACATGTCCATCTCTTGTTGAATGAATTCAGAGCTTGCTTGAAGTCTGATTGATGATTGATGCAATAGAAGGTAATCTCTTCATTGTATGGTGTAGTTCGGCTGATGTTTGCACTGTTATTTGTCATCACAGACACAGAAGAATTCTGTTGGCCACGCACTTCTTCGACTGGGAAGCTATTTGATGACGATTGATCACTTCTGGTATGACGATTAGCAGATGGCATCGATGTGGAGAATTGATGACTATCCCTCTAGATGCAGTATTGTTGTTGGCAAAGTTTGTTCTTGAATTGCTTTGCATACTATTGCGTGCTGTGGGAATCTGTTCACCGTTACTTTGCGCGCTGCTGCTGCTGCTGCTGTTGTGACTCTGGTAGCACATGAGCCTGTTTGGTTGCTTGCTGCTGCTGCTGCTGCTGCTGCGCTTGATTGCTCGTGACTGTTGTTGCTGTCGTTGTGAGTATCTCTCTTGTTGTGGTGGTGGTGCTGCTGCTGCGGCGGCGGCGGCGCTGCTGCGGGGCTGATGAGATTGCTGTGTTGTGCCCCGGCAGGGCGTGGCGCTGTTGCTGCTGCTGTGGCTTCTGCTGTTGCAATTGTTGTGCTGCCCTGTTGCTGCTGTTGCTGTGCTTGTGATGCCTGGGGCTGTCGCTGTGGTGGAATCAGTTGTTGGTGTGCACCAGGTTGCCATTGCATTGTCTGTTGTTCATGCTGTTGCTGTGTTTGTGATGCCTGAGGCTGTCGCTGTGGAATCGGTTGTTGGTGTGCACCAGATTGCCATTGCATTGCCTGTTGTGGTTGTTGCAGAGAATGATTGAAGACATTGCTACCACCCATCAAACCTACGGAGGACCCAGGTATGTGAATGTTGCCATGCATGGCTTGCTGATGAGGGTGATACATGGAGTCTGTTGTTGATTATTGAATATAAATGGTGGCTGATAATACATTGCTTGCTGTGGCAGCCCAAATGGTGGCATACATTGTTGTTGTTGCTGGGCAAGTTCGGCGGTAGCTTCCAAATGGGTTGATATTTTGGTGGTAATACATATTGCTGTTGGGGTGGAAAGCAGAAGTGGATTGATTCGGAACATGCATCATTGAGTTGCTTTATCCAAATTGTTGTTGTTGGGCGATCATTGCTGGGCCTGAAGCATGATATTGGAATTTCATTGCTGGGATTGATGTGATATCCAATCACGAAACAATGCATAGATCTTTCTCTCCTACCCAACAGCATCAAAAAATGTGTTCTCTGGTTAATGAAATAAGATATTACATTTTGACATGATGCATGCTGATAACCATGATCAAGAGCAAGCTGATGGACATATGCAGCCATGGTATGGAATCCATCAAGACTGGAAAACTGCTCACTTTCGAGAGAAGACATGTTGCTATATCAAGAGCCTTGCAGATCTTGTTTTGGCTATTTCAAGATGCTCTTTGGATTGGGAGTTGGCTATTGCCAGCTTTCTCTCTTCTTGTTTCTTCTAATCAACTTGACTTCTCGTTGTTCCTGCTTTTGTTCTTCCGTTTGAATGCTGGCTCTTGTGTGATGTGATGTGTTGTTATTATTATTGTCTCTCTCTTCTTCTCTTCTCTCTATCTTCTAGTTTGTTGTGTTGTTGTTGTTGTTGTGTCTGTTGTTCTTGTTCTTGTTGCTGGAGTGAGAATTGGATGACAACGTAGTCACATAGTTAGTAATTATGTAAAATGTGTTGCCAAGAACTAGGCAACATGATGGTATTTAAGGAATGACCATGGTACAATGAAAAGACTGTCAATGGACATTGTACCAAGGGTACCAAGTTTCAACCAACTTACTAAAAACAGTTAAATTTGATGGTACGAAGGGTACCAAGAGGTGGTGCTAAGATTTTGTCAAACTTAGCACTAGGGGAGGTACCAAGTTCAAAGGTAAAATTACATAAGGGTCAAATTTCATACTTATGATATGTCGAGCTCTTAAATATTGCATCTGCTAAATAAACTAGGTACATTTGAGTACTTAAGCTAAGTAACTATTTGTAACTATTAGCAGAAAGATGCCAAAGTGGCTTTGTCCTTGGGAGATTTTGGCTTGGGCAGTGACAAAGCAAACTTGGTCTTGTACCAAGTTTGCTTGGTCACCACCATGAGGGCAGGATAGATGTTAAGTGGCTACAAGAGGAAAAGAGTATCACCCTAAATCCACGAGAATGACCCTTCTTGGTCCATGGTACCAAGTTCAATTGGATTACGGGTTGTCTAATTGATGTAACTGTCACAAGTCCCAGTGAAATTACTTAGAAGTACTTAGTACCAACTTGGGGTATGGTTTAGGTAAGACCGCACATGTCGGACTCGAGTGGATTTGGTGGATTTATTCGTGTTTTGCAACACGATTGAGGTCAGCATGCTCGAAGATCTCCCAAGCCTCCAACTTTTGGCTGGCTGGTCCACAAGGTCCAGGCTATCAACTTCAGAATGGCGACCTCACCGGGCTGCTGAAATAGTCATAAATATTGCATTGCTCGTCCTGTGCTCCTCTGCTCACCACATGAGATTTGAAAGCATCTGAGGTGGTGAGCCGAATGAACTTGGGACCATCAATGAAGCGAAACGGAGAATCCATTATTATTATTAGGTCATCCAACTTGTCGTGCCTTATGCTTTTGAAAAGCACAAGGTTCCATTCGTAGGCTGATCTCCGAGCAAGGGGGAAACCTTCTTACAAAGGTGCACTGTTTATAGATATACCTATGTTTGAAGAGTATGTAGCTAATTACATTGTTCGCATGAATCGCATCCACACAGATTGGTAGAAGAGCACGTGAAGTTGACCTTCTCAGTATCATAACAGATCGTGTACAAGCCAAAGTAGTCATTGCAGGTATAAGTGATGTCCCAAATTCTGTCACAGAGACCATCCGGAATGGAGCCGGATAGAAAGGTGTCAGAAACAGTTAGCATCTCCAAACTTGCCAACTCTGTGAGGCTTGTGGGGATTCTTCCAGTGATTGAATTATCATGGAGAAACAGCTCGGTCACATTGGCCAGAAACCCCAGCTGTGATGGGACGGTACCCGAAAACTCATTCCGCGAAAGCCAAAGTAGGTCAAGGGATGTCAAAAGGCCAAGCTCTGTTGGGAGGGGTCCTTCCAACTTGTTGTCATGGATCTTCAGATATGACAGTTGTCCCCAGCTCTGGAAGATGGAGGCTGGAAGTGTTCCAGTGAATTGATTGCCATTCAACCAAGCCATGGTCAAATCTGTTTTGTCAGCAGCAGCAAGAGTGTGTGAGGGTTAGATTCTTGAGAATGTGAACACAAACAGCCCCGAATGATACATACTTGGAAACATCCCAAATTCAGTTGGAAATGTGCCCGTGATTTCGTTGTCATCAATGTCAAGCCTAATCTGAATATGAAAACGGTTATTTTCAGTAATCCAATCGTGGGGCAAGCAATGATACAATGGTGGCAACCCAGGACCGCACATACACGTACCATGTCTGTCAGTTGGAATAGTTCACTTGGAATAGATCCTGTGATGGAACAGTTCCACAGGTTCAGCCTGCGCATGTTGGAAAGCAAACCAATCTCTGTAGGAATCAAACTCTTGATTGGAACGTGGTAGACCCAAAACTTCTCCAACTTTGTCATTTGGCCAATCTCTGGAAGCAGTTCCGCACCGGTGAGTCTGTTCAAATTGTGCATGTGAAACATGACCAGGTTGGTCAGTCGATAGAGCTCTGTTGGCAGTGTCCCTGAGATGTGTTCACAATGGCGGATACTGAGAATGCTCAGGGCTTCCATGTTACCAATCTCACTCGGAATAGATCCTGTGAAGATGTTATGGCCAAGTTCTAGTTCCTGAAGCTCGGAGAGCTGTCCAATCTCCGTTGGGATTTGGCCTGAATGAAGATTTCGGTCGGCGTAGAACTTTCGAAGATTGGTAAGCAGACCAACCTCTGAGGGAATCAAGCCTCGGAGCTTCTCGTTGGACCCAACTTCCAGATACAGTAATGAACCACTCAACAGGGAAATCTCTGGAGGGAGGCTTCCATCCATGTTGTTCTCGGTAAAAACCAAGTAAGCATACTGTCCCTCAGCATTGCAGGCAGATTCCAGGAAGCGAAGCTCTGATCGCACTTCCGAAACTCCTTCATGAAGGTAAAAGTCCTCTTCCCCACCAACAAGCTTCCTGAAGTACCAGGAACATTCATCGACATTATAGCTAAGCCAATCTTCCCGGAGATTCCAATCTTCTCCTCCAGTGCTAAAGTAAAAGACAGCCAAAGCAAACCTTTGGAGAATCTTCCACTGAGGGTAAGATGCCTGGTTGGGGTCATTCAGAACCCAATCATAGGCCTTTGCCTGTGGAGAACGGGGGATACGCAAGGCAGAGAGTGTACTGTCTGGAAGCCCTTCCCACGTCTCAGCAAGCATCGTGCAGGCAGCAGTTGGTGCTTCTGTTCTTGGAGATGCGCTGCCATTTGACGGTTGCTCTTGATCGTGCACTTCCTTTGCATTGAGTAGAATTGCCAGCATAGCAACGATGATAGCCACAAGGAGGACTGTCCCAACCAGAACGATTGTCTTGATTTGATTGTTCTTTTGCTCCCTTTCCTTGGAAGCTTGGTTCGTAGCAACGCCATGAGCTTGAGGTAGCTGGTGGGGAAGAGCTTCCTCCACTGGGCTGGCAACGGCCAAGCCACTGTCCCTCCCCCCTGCAGCTCTTTCGTTGTTCCTTCGAGAGCCCACATTGCGCTGTTCACGTGCTACTGTTTGATTGGTTGTATCAGCATTTCTTCCACCCATCATCTGATGGGATGAAGGGGATCCAACCTCTTCATCTGAGGAGTCGCTAACTCTAGTGAATTCACAAGAAGAAGGAGCACCTACTAGGGACCGGCAAAAGGGGAGAGGCTCTCTCAAGCACTATGCCAGGCACAGCAGAATAGGCTCCAGGACGCATGATAGCATATTCCTGCTCACTACTACTGGTCAGGGTTGGTGCTGACGGCATGTCCATTATGCCGCTAACAACACCCGCATGATTTGCTAGCATGATGGGATGATCCACGATACCCCCAAGTACGTGCGCTGAGCCTCTCGAGATGCCCCTTCCTCATGAGCACTTCCCGAATCCATCTCTTTGCCAACAACGGTAGCTTTTCTGTTGTTCACCATGGTACCGTTCTGCCTCTAGCTAGAGTATTGTTAGGTAGCTTCTATGTCTTCTTTAGTTGCATCTATCTGAAACCAGGAGATTATTAGTCTGTCTGATGCATTGTGAAAGTGGACCAATACCGGGGAAGCAATTGACAAGCGGTTCGAAACCAAGGAAGCGGTTTTTGGGCGACCGAAAGTGACCCCTTTGGAACATGCGTAGGACGCTTACTTCCCTTTTGCACTACATGTACATGTAGTCAATGCGGGGAAATCTTCATTAAATCATCCTCAAATAAGCATGAAATGTTACGGTCCTGGCAAGAATTCCAGCTTTACTGCATAGCGCAGTGGTCGTCTCTGGTACCATACTGTGCAGCGGTACTGTAGCTATAGAGCCAATGGCCAAACGCTTCTTAGAGAACATACTTCCCTCAAACAAAAAGGGGACTCAAATTCAGATTTAGAGAACAGAACTGATGTTTGTGTCCTTTAAATAGAGGATTGTCAGGTGGTGATTGAATCAAGGTGTATCGGGAATCAGGAGTCCGAGCACTCAGAGTAAAAGAGTACCGGTACTGGTACCGGGACATGTACTGATGTACCGATACTGAGACACGTCATTCTGCAATTTCAGCATTTTTCAGTCTTGAATGCTGAAATTTGCTGAATTTTTGATGATGTTTGCTGACTGATGCTGAAATATACTGACTGATGCTGAACTTTGCTGAACTTGCTGAATCCATTGCTGAAAAATGCTGACAGATGCTGAATCCAACCATGGTTATTTACTAGTAATTGCTGAATTCTGCTGAATCTTGCTGAACTTGCTGAATCCATTGCTGAAAAATGCTGACAGATGCTGACTGATGCTGAATGATGCTGAAATTGCTGAATCTGATGCTGACAAATGCTGAATTTGCTGAATCCAGTTTCAGCAAAAATAATCAATTACCGTGTCTTCCTGGTAATCAGAATACTACATGTAGCTAGAGTAGAGCACAAGACACAGGACGAGTACTTGTACGGTACATCGTACAAGATGATCATTGCAATCGTCAGTGTATCGTCAGAAGAGGTCTCAGAGCACAGCGTGCCAGTGTGCCAGTACGCTGCAAGAGCTGCTGGAAGAGGCGCAGAGGAGCTTGGGAGGATACCCAAGGGTGTGCTTCGGATTTAATGAATGGCAGGAGGACTTTTCGAGCTACTTTTCGTCAGATGATCGTACTCTAGTACTAGCTAGTATGAATTATGAAGTCAGATTGTGGCCAATACTCATTTAAAGAATGAGCCCTGCATAGAGGTACTGAAGAGTATCTCTGGTTCCTGGCCACGGCCAGTGGCCACACATGAAAGAGAAGACAAAGTATGGGTTAGGCTGGCTCGAGATGTCGTTTCATGATTCAAGGTCAAATAAGTCACGAGTACAACTTACCACTGATGGCAGCTTCGAATTGTAATGGTGGCAGAATGGTGACAACGCCCCAAAAAAAATTCCAAAAGACCAAGCAAGTCACAACTGCCCATGCATGGCAACACGTGTGTCCATTAGATACCAAGAGAACAACATGGAAAAGAAATCGCTGAAAAAAAGCGACCATGTTGACGGCAAGAGCGCCATGGTGGATGTTTGGTAGTAGATAGTTAACAGATTGTAGAGCGATCCTTTTTGGTGTGTTAGGCGAGCGGCAGAAGTGAAGATCGCTGATGTGGAATCTTCCCAAAACGTCTCGCCAACTCGCGAGATTCCCTCTCATTTTTTTGAAGACGTAGAAATATTGACACTCCCATAGTTTCGCAACTCCTGCATACTCCCTTCAGCCAAGAAATAGGTGGAAATGGCGCTACAATGTTATACTCAAAGCACTTTGGAAATTTCCTGTTGGCTTGTGTCTCCGATGGCCAAGAATGATGCACTGGGTGGCCATAGTGGCCTGTTTTCGTTGGGTTCATTTGCAGAACCATGTCAGGACAATATCCACCGTATTACAATGGTGGGTCACACCGCACCAACCACCGAATTCCCAACCATCACCCGTACTATGGCTACCCGTATCCGCCGTATATGCATTATGGGTTGCATGGGTATCCGTACGTCCCGCCACCTTTGGTTCTGCCACAACCAGCAACAGAGCCTCTGGATAGATCCGCGCGACCCCCTGAGGACAATGCTGCAAGGACGAAGGAGGACTTTTCTTATGACCCAACTTGCCGTGTCTGTACCAGCAAGAATGAAGGAAAGGCTTTGATTGAAGAAAGATACGGTGGAATTGTCACTGTTGCTGGGAAAAGAATGCAGTGTGTCAAGCCGGATGGTGCCCACACTCCCAAGTCGAAGGATCCATACCGGAAGACGTGGAAATATGCCTGTGCATGCAGACCGAACTGTAGATGGAGGATGCAACTACGGCAATTTGGACGCAAGAATCCAGAACTCCCTGATGGGATCTCGTGCAACACTGACATCGTTTTTCTTGTTTTTGTCAAGAAGGAGATCATGAGTCACAGCCACAGCATGCTACCACCATTGTTGCAATCGAGTGAGCAGCATGGACTCCCATCTGTCGTGCAACACATTGTTGACGACTACATCTGCACACAGACAAAGCAAGGTACCTGGATCGGTCGCATCACTGCGGGCAAGATCATGCCATACGTGTTGGACAAGCTACGTCGCGACCCAAGCAACCAAGCTTACAAGCATTTGACATCTGGAAAAGATAATATAGACAATCTTACTGGAAAGATGAGGAATTATCTCAGTCGCAAGAAGGATCTCTACATAGCGCAACACTTTCCTGGAGAAGCCAACATTCCGAATATGGACAGCCTCTTCCGTTGCCTAGCACGATGGAACCTTCAGTTACCTCCGAATTACAAACCAAGGAGCAATTATGCAAGTGTGGACGAGTTGGTACAAGCGATTGGAGCTAAGGACATAGATGACATGCTGCTGTACGACCTTGGAAGTGGATCGCTGTACAAAAGATACTTGGACAAAGTGGTTGATGACAGCGACAGGGTGGAGTTCAAGCAGAAGATGGAACATGCATTCTTTTTTTACTCACCAACAGCGTTGTTTCAACTGCTCCACCTGGTCAAGCGCAGTCGCGGAACAAGACAGATCTGTTCTGATGGCACCGGTGGTATGCTGAAGGATGGTAGTGTCTTGATTGTCATGGGAGCACTTTCTGTCAAGTATCGTGTTCTAGAGAATGATGTCACTGCTTCGCTCCGTGCCATTGCCTACCTCAGAGCTGGAGGTGAACGATATCACCCATACCTCATGGCCCTTTATGCACTTCGCGATCTTTCATTGCAACTGTTTGGGTTGCCATTCGAGTTGGACTGGGGTACCTCCGACTCTGCAAATGCCTTTGTCTCCGCCCATGTTTTCTTCAAGGAGCATCCAGGTCTATGTGACCGTGAAGACGTCCTCTGTGAATCTATTGAAGACACCGACTCAGTTGCATCTGATGGAACTGTGGATCCTTATGAATCTGTCCTGAATTGTGCATTCCATGCACTACAACCATTCGCGAAGAGGAATAGCTACGTGGGACGTTTCAAAGACAAGTCATTTGCAGCTGCACAAGACAAGGTTACAGACATCAACAAGTCGGCTTACGGACAAGTGAAGTACATTATGGACTCGAAGACTAAGGAGCAGCGCCTAGCTGTAAGGGATCTGGTGCTCTCTCATTGGTCAGATGAAAGACAAGAGAAGTCGGCAGCTGCTCTGTTCAACAAGTCTTATGGCGAGTCTCCCTTTTGGAACATCAACTACAACTGTACTGGTGAAGCTGGTGTTTATCCCACGAACTGTCCAAGCGAAACGTTCAATCGACATGCAGTCAAGAGAAGCGAGGCAGATAGAGCAAAGAATGTCTGCCTTTCGACGTTCCTGGTACATTCGGCACCGACTCTGCTGCACGATGATGCCCTTTTGCGTTCTGATCCATGCACAATCGAGATACCCCGAAATTGCTCTGCGACTACTGTGTCAGTGACAGGCTTCATTCAAGAAGGCGTCGACATTATTCTGCGTGGTGAAGGTTGGTTGTGCAACCTTCGCCATCGCATCGGTGTTCCAATTACAGATGACATTATCCTACGAATGAATCGAGCTCTTGCTGGAGACGTTTCAGCATTCTGCCAACCACTCCTCAGCGGCAAACCGTGCCTCAAGTCCACCATTGCCATGAGAATGATTACAGCAACCAGACACATTTGTCATGTTACCAGGCGCAGGAATGGTGATCTTGTTGGAGACTGTGAGAACTGCATCAAGAAGCTTGGATACAGCTGTCCTGGTGTTTCCTTCCTAAGAAGCAAGCACGATCAGTTTGACTCTACCTTAGAAACAAAAAGGAAGACACCATGTAATAGAAATGGTAAGCCATCTTCGGCACCAGACAGAGGCAACAGAAACGTCATGTATGAAGGCGGTCTGCCAAAAAAGAAGAAGGCCCGGTCCCTCTCAAAAATGAGCATTTCCTTGGCTGACTATATCAATTCTTTGAATCACTCCCAGCTTTGTAAGTGTGTCGATTACCTTGGATTGCGCAAGTTCGGCTCTGTGGTGCCCACAAAGAGAATGCTGGTGCCGCAATTGCAGCAGCTACTTCTTGCTTTTGGAGACGATCCTGTTTCATTCCGGCAAGAGTGGCGGAAAGACTACAAGTTGCGTAATGACCACTTCCAAGATCCGTGAAAGAAACCATAACTATAGCATTATTTACAAGTAGCAAAGTTTACTATACCAACAACGTAAACGATCCCACGCAATTGCAACAAAAGATGTGTGATGGGTAGTGGTACGTTGTATTGTTAAGGCACACCCGCCACTTTTGCATTTGCTGCGGGACCACTTGTCAGTGGAGGAAGCACCAGTCGGCACTCTGGAAGTTTCTTCTTGGTGGCGCATGTCCTACCCCAAAATGATTAAGAGAGCAAGAACTCTCTTGGGAGCAGGGTGCCACTCCATGCTAATTCCTGGCGCATTGGCTGAAGGTCGGATTTCTATTGGCAGTGGAGGGAGTAGCTGCTCTCGAAAACTGCTGGGTTCTGGGTTGATTGTCGCGTACAAGAGGAAATACCTCATAAGACAGTTTTTTGCCTGCTGTTCTCCACTCGTCATGCCTCCCTACTACGTTGGCAACCTTGCCTTCTCCCGCATCACGGAAGATGGCAAAGTCGAAACTATTCGATACCCTTGCAAATATGGCTATCCATTTGGAGGGCCTGAGGATTACACGACCACCGAGTTGGGCCAGCAGCTGATTGAGACCTTCCAAGAATACAATGTGCACTGCATGAAAGATTTGAAGATCCGTGATGGTATTGATCTGGTCTCGGTGGCTTACAAGCGTGAAGCCTTGGTGGAACATGCAAGAAAGCGGAACAAGCTTCAACCTCTCCGCTGTTACTTGTCAACCTGGAACGTGCTGGCTCCCTGGCTCACAAAGTATCCCGACAACTATCCTCTTCCACCTGTAAATGGTCAGTGGATGAAGGAGGACCTCGGAAAGCTTCTTTTGTTGAAGCTGTTGATTGTCAACCCTCATGTCAATCCCCACATGGCTTAGCGAATCTGTGAGCGGACCAATAGCCAGTATGAGGAGATGTGTCTTCGATACGATTATTGGATGAAGTTTGATCTTGAGACCCTTCCGGATGACATGGTGTACCTTATCAAGTTCGGTCATTTGGAAACTGAGATAGTCTCCCAAGTTCTCCGCCGACATGAATCCGGTATTGAGGACCAAGCTATCAGTGGTTTGGCTGGAACAGCTCTGACGGCCATTGCTGACTTTTTCGATGACATGGATGCTCCGGATGAAAGCGCACCTGTGGATAATAACAAACCACCTTTGATTATCGAGCTTTACCCCACCGCAAGTGAAGATGACTCTGAATCTGTGCCTGACCTGGGCACTTTTGGCGATTGCTTGGGAGAACGTCCTGCCAACAATGCCTCCCCAGCGAGTTTTCAACATTGCTCTCAGTTGGCGCAGCCGAGCACCTTGACTGCTGTGCGAGTGTCTGGCGAAAAGAAGAAATCGCCGAACCCATCACCAACCAAGCGTTGTCGGGAAGACACTTCTGGCACCACTCCCTTCAGTCAAGCCTTTCCTGACAGCGATTGTGCCGATGCGAATGGTGGCTATGAGAAGATTGTCGAAGGTTCGGATGCTGATGACATTGACAGTTCGGCGCATGAGGATCTCAAGAGGACATTGGAGGAGAGCTTTGCTGAGATGAGACGCAGAGAAGACGCCGAAGAGCAAGACGAAGATGACGCGACGCATCTCAATTCTTATCTTTACAGCAGCTGAGGTGAGCGACAGGATAATGGAATGCATGGGCTGCAGTGATTTGCATGGTTTGTTGGAGCAGTTTTTGAATCCTTCTGTTGGGATTGCACGAATTCTCGACCATGGCCAATTCGAATGGCAACTAGCCGTTGGTGTATGCGATACCACGGAAACCTAAAACACGGATTCGAGCCCAAAATAAACGGAGAGAGCGCGCCCGCTGGGCGCGCCAATATTAACATTAATGACTGTATGCAAAAAAATCGATAGCCAGTGGTGTATAGCCAAGATATATTGATTCCCGGTACTGAATTAGAGGATAGCTGAGGATGGAGCAAGGAAGGGCAGCTGATGGGCAGCTGATGGGCATGAGTGAGAAGGGGATTTAAAGAATGGCCAATAAAGTGAACTCACCTTCTGTTTATGGAGAAGTTATTATTAGTATAAAGCCGTGAAGTGGAGCTTGCGAACACTGTTTCCCCAGCTGTTTCCCAGTTTCCGATGATACGCTTGACCAATGACGATGTTTCGCAAGCCGCAACGTGGAAATTCAGTGACCGTGGCAATGCTTTCGGGAGCCTTGTTTCCCTCTCAGTCCATTCCTCTAGACTCTTCACGGGTTCCGCATGGCCGAAGGAACAAGTCACTTGCGAGGAGGACTCAACATGTAGCGCTAGCAGATGGGTTTCGCGACCAGAGGAAGAAAGGAATGACGAATCGTTGAAACTTTGATACTCTCTGGCGTCGAGGCCCTGCCATTCGAAGAAGCACGCTGGCGTGCCCCTACCACCTGAAGAATTCGTCATATGGCCATACCAGTAGAGTTCAAAGTTCAGGTCTCTTTCTGGCTGTAGAGCCCAAGGTGAAGGCTCGGCACTTTAGATCCAAGAGGGGCCAAAGCAGCCCTGTTTTCCCCCGTCTTTTCCCCCGCACCTCTGTGTTGGATTGCAACCACGTTCGTAACACGGCTCGGACCCGATGATGAATGAATCCCACACCCTGGCTGCATGTTGCCAATCGAATGAAACACTTGCCATGAACATTCAGCAGACGTCGCAAACAAAAGTGAATCAATTTATCGACAAATGAGGTAGAACAACACTCTGCGATGACAGCGCATGAAAATTGTTGATGAGCTCCACACGGGCGGCGGCGAGGGTGGCAATGACGGGCAGAAGAGAACCAAAATCGTGACCCATTGGCAGTGGCGTACGGAATCTTCGTGTCGGTCCTGAGAGAAACTATGGCTGCCGAGGAGAGAGAAAGGGAAGAAACGAGGTCAATTGACGAAGAACGGGTCTACTGTTGCTGCTGTTGTACACGGGATGAGTTTGAGGACTTTTTCTACGATTGCGACGACGATGACGACTGCTGCTGTTTGTGAATGCTTCGTAATGATTGCTTACGCTCTTGTCGATGAACCTGGCGTGACTTCTGGATGGCAACGGCGTGGCTTGTGCCAGAAGCTGGGGTTTGTATCGCGTACATTGTTCGAGCGGTGATGGCGTCGATCCGAAAATCTCAGAATAACTACGATATCTGTACGACAACAACGACAGTTGGTGGTTTTGGTATCTCAGAATGATAGTTCCCGCATCGTTTGCATGGTGCGTCGTGTGTGGTGTTATGATGGGCGGTGTTGTTGGGAAGCCGGGAACAGATCCAAAAGATGAAGAGCACAAAAGTGCGTGCTCGATCCTGTGTCGAACATCCACAACGCCAGATTTGTGGGAGGAGGTGTGCACAGGTGCATTTGCAACTGGCGGGCCATCTGTTGGGGTGTACTTTCTTGCCAAAAAGATCAGCCCGAACATAGATAACGACACAACACAGTTGTTGCGAGAGCTTGTTTGGCGCCTCTATTTCATTCAGGGATCAATATGCGCGGTGTTTGGCTTGCTTGCCCTGTCGGCATTGTGGTTCCTTGCGGCAAGCATCTTGCACCCGCTATAGCTGTCTAGTTGCCGTCTCACATCATGTTGCCAATCAACGCTCCTTCGAGCCATGCCATCCTCCGTCTAACTATCCACCTTTTTCTGACTGTTTCTACCATTGCAGCACGACTGACGTCTGCGAGAACGCTCACCAACATGTTTTTGAATTCTGGATCTGGAGGAGCGCTCGAAGGTACAGCCACCGCTATGATTCATCAAGCCAGTACCACCGCCAGAGCTAGGAATGCTTGATGAACAGGAATGGCGCTTGGCTGGTTTGTGGGCTTCCTTGCCTGTTACTGATGATGTTACCGGGGATGGGACCAATGATGCTGGGGATTGGGTCGTAGCAGGCGAACGACGACCACGGGCTTGGAGTGACCTCCGAAACAAATGTGGCTTTTTGAGACGGAGTTGTGCAATCGAGTTTCTTGTCGTTGGCTTGTCGATCTGATCATGGTGGCCATTTACCACTGCCTCTTGCATTTTATCATTTTCTTGATGACAAGCTGTCTTATGCTGACTCTGTTCGAATGTTGAGATGGCCACTCCACGAAGAGAGATCATTGCCTGGTTTGAAGGTTTGACTTCTTTGGTTGTGGCTTTCGCTGGGACAACGGAAAAGTGTTTGTTAGTAGCCAACATGCCACGGCCTCCCTGAGCTCGAATGCTGGACTCTTGATTGACTGGGCTTTCAACTTCAAGCTCTTCAGGATCATCTTGTTCAGGCTCCCTCATTGCATGCTTAACATTGGCAGCTAGATCGCACGTGTAGCCTCGACCTGACAAGGAAAGCCTTTTCGCCATTTCAACCAGCTCCTTCTCCTGCTCTTCCTCAAGAAACCGCCGAGTATGGGCACTGATGTCAAGAGCTGGAGCCACTTCGTTGGGGGGTTCTTTTTCCTTAGCTTCGATGGAAAGCTTCACTGCGAGCTCTATGAACTCCTTCTCCTGCTCTTGGCGAAACCATTGCAGCTCTTGAGAGGTCATGTTGCCGCTGGTGTTGTGACGAGTAGATTTCATTTCGAGAGAAGTGTTGTTTTGTCTAGAGCTCTGAAAAGTGAGGGTTCGTTTTGGTCATACTTTTTTTGTTTTGTGTTTGAAGAGACCAAAGAAATATTTTTAATATTAATTATTAATCACGATCTTTTGACCTCTGTTGAGACCCCCAGAATACGAATGTCTGACATCATTCTTCAAGTTCAGGGTTCAGGGGCACCTTTAAAAGTGAGGCCCACACCGCCAGTTGATCATTGTTCTTTGCTTCTCTTTTTGTTAAAGCATATTCAATTTCAATGGGGACATCTTATTGCTTAGTTCAAGCCTCTAGTTAATACCGTACCATAGTCACCAACACAAAAAAGAACCCGCTGTTCGTACCGGTACCATTTCAGCCAGCCAACATCCAGCCTAGCTTTGGAGGATGCCAGTTCGTGGAGTGGACGAAGCCGTGCCACCGCTGTGGAAGTAGGTATCAGGTTTGATCTTAATGACAACCATCAATTTTCTAATATACGACAAGCTGGGATGCTTGCAAGGCCCATTGACTTGGAATCAAGAACGCCCTTCCACCTGAGGTCTGCTTTTGGTACCGGTACTCCTGCGTATGCTCCCGGTCTTGCATTTCCAACCTTCCTTTGACACTGTCAACTCCCTGTGTAGTCTGATGTGTGCGCCTTTTCACAATCACCATGACATGGAAATCATCATTCTTGTCACCATCACTGTTTTGTGGAAGGTTTCGGATGCTACAGCATGAATTTGACGTCGTGGAGTGCGAGATCGCATACTTCGAGAGTTGGGCAACAATGGGCAGGAATTTCTCGAGAACACAAACCGCTCAAAGAGAGTTAATTTCCTCAGTACAACTACATGTAGAAAGTCGCTGCTGCTATTTTAAAACAAGATTGCAACTTGCACAATGTTTTCCCGGCCCGGCACAGGCAGGTCGACGGATCATCAACGTCACGCTATTCTTGGACGCAGCCAGATCCATATCGGGTGGATCCAAGATGAGACATCCACCATCGGTAACGCACTGATCGTTTTCATGCGCGACCTTGCCGGAGTGACAACTGTAAGATTGCCGTGATGGTCCGAATGGACGCAATGAGGGAGGATTGTCGCCTGACTACCGTACGTGGAACTTTGGCTTGCACCCATTTCATTTCACTTACGGTATTATCATGGTTTTGCTTTTCAATTCTTTTTTAATTAAACTCTTCTTCTTGATGTACCTACTCTTGTATAGTTTCCTAACCGCCAGCAAATCACTTCAAACTTTTGCCAACTCAATCTTTTCGCCCAATGCTACCCACAAGTCCCACAGACTTGTAATCAAGGGTATTGGTTCGCTGGAGGCCTGCTCCTGGGTTTCCTGCATATGCGCCTGGTCTTGCACTTGCCACAAGTCCATTCTTTGATTTCCCCCCATCAGATGGCAGTGGTTCTTGATGAGCACTGCTCTCCAGAGGCTGCTGCTGCGGACCTGAGACTTCAGACAAGGCCTGTCGAGCGCGCTCTCGAACTACTTGCATGACGTGAAAGTCGTCTTCCTTGTCGTTGCCATTCTGATGAGGTTGAGGCGCCCGATCAGGCCGACGCTGTCGTGGTTGGCTCCTGGATCTCTCGGAACGCCCAACAGGTTGCCTTCTGGCTCTGAAGACACGCTCATGATCACTCCCCCGGGGAAGTTCCGTCGATCCGGATCGACTTCTTCTGATCCTGGAGAAACGCTCATGATCACTCCCCCGGGGAATGTTCATCGACCCAGGTCCACCAGAGTTATGAGGCAAGGATGTACAGGAATGACGTTGTTCTTCTTCCACTAGTGCCTGCTGAGCACGCTCTTGGACAATCTGCATCACATAGTCATCATCTTCCTTGCCCGTTGCTGCTGCTGTTGGCGAGGACGGTGTCTTTGCGGGTGAACGATGAACCTGACCCAGCATTCGAGAAAACAGCTTGGGTTTCTTGATTTGAAGAAATCCACCAGACTTCTTTCCTGTTGACTTTTTGGTCGGGCCATGGCCACTTGCTCGCATTTCGTCTTCTTGGCGCTCTTCTTTCTTCTTCTTAGGCCCATGCCATGACGATGACAGGGCAGCGCCAATATTGGTCACCTTTTTGTTGGTCGATCTGGACTGTTTTCCTGTCGCTCGGGGAACTGGATCCGAACCAAACTGGTCGAAAGCCTGATCAAACGCCAGCATGGCGTTGGCTCGCAACTCGTCCTTTGATGGATCTTTTTTGTGTTTCCATTCCACAGTGTTCTGGATTGCAGGTCCTTCTGGTGGATTCTCTTCCGCAAACTCCTCTTCATCATCAGAGGAATCAGTAGCTCCATCAGACAAGGAAAGCCTGACCGCCATTTCGACCATCTTCTTCTTACGCCCATGCCAGGACGATGACAGGGCAGCGCCGGTATTGGTCACCATGCTGTTGGTCGATCTGGATTGTTTTCCTGTCGCTCGAGGAACTGGATCCGCACTAAACTGGTCGAAAGCCTGATCAAAGGCCAGCATGGCGTTGTCTCGCAACTCATCCTTTGCTGGATTTTTTTTGTGTTTCCAGTTCTCGATTGCAGGTCCTTCTGGTGGATTCTCTTCCGAAAACTCATCAGAGGAATCATTCGCTCCATCCGACAAGGAGAGCCTGACTGCCATTTCGACCATCTCCTTCTCTTGCTCTGCTTCCAAGATCAGCTGGGTGCGAATGCTGGGTCTCTGTGCCTGTGGGATCCTGGACTCCGGCACCACTTCCCGATTCTCTTGCTCTGGCGCCAAAAAGGGCTGGCCTCCAGTGTGGTCTGCATCAGGCAGAGCTTCCTCTTCATGGATGGTGCCAACTGCCCCACACTCGCTCAACGAGAGTCTCACGGCCATTTCAACCATTTCCTTCTCCTGCTCTTCCTCCAGAAACTGGCGAGTCCGAGCACTGACGTCGATCATTGGTGGCGTTTCTTCTTCCTCGTGGTGGGGCTCCATCATGACCTCCTCATCGCGCTGTCCATCCTCGCTGCCTGTCAACGAGAGTCTTACGGCCATTTGTACCATCTCGTTTTCCTGTTCTTCTTCCACAAAATGGGCAAGCTCCTGAGAGTTCATTGTGCTGTTGTGACGATCCATTGCTGCTGTGATCATTGTGTATGTTGCCTTGGCACTTTTTCAAAACAAAAAGATTGTGAGATTGTGATCTCGAGACCAACTCGTCACCTTTGCGTCGTCGAGACGAACCACTCCGTGCCAGTTTCTCATGGAGTCACAATGATGACTGTTAAGTATTTGAGCAGTTCTATGACCAAAGTTGCAGAGGTGAAGTTCTTTTTCAAATAAGGAATTGCCACCACGTGAGTGACATGTTCTTGCCAGTTTCTATTTTGGACGACAAGTAAGTAAGTGTTGCTGTAAGTGTTGACTTTTGAGAAAACGGAAGGTGAAGTATTTGAGGCACTTTATGTCCAGAGATGCATGATGAGTGAGCTTCTTTTTTGAAGGATTTAATAACCACGTGACGGTACCACAAATTGATTACGTAGTCTACTTATTGAGACGATGAACCTAGTCAACACTATTATTAAAATAATAGTGTACGACTGTACTATTAATAGTACTCGTACCATTATTGTCGACCCTCAAACTTCGCAAACTGCTCGCGAAGCGCAGAAAGTGCTCAACCCTAGCTAGAATTCAAACATTCAAACACACTTTTCTCAAGGTGTACGACTTTTTAATGCCTCTCTGCCTACTACATGTACCGGTACCGACGCTGGTACGTAAGTACCGGTAGTCTAGCTAGTACTCCAACAAAGGTTCTTTTCTGTGCGTAAAAAGCCCTGCTGTCCTTGGATGCAGTCATCTCGTTAGGCAAGAACCAAACTGGGACCTGTGCCGTACAGTACCGCATGGGCTTGAAGGTTGAAGGTGCCTGCGTTCGGTGCTCCCAGTACTCTCCCAGGCAATGGTTTTGAAGGCTGGTTGACTTGCCTTGAGACCAAGCATGAGAGTTCTGCGTCTTGTACCGTAGGATCTTCGAAGGCTTTTGTTTTTGGACAACCGTGCAAGCAAGGAGGAAGATTTTCATGCCATGCAAGTTGTGCGAGAAGCAACGGGCCCAACAAGCATCACCCGGTCCCCAAGTTGGCCACATCAATATGCGACAATACCATTGTGCATTGACTAGTCTAAGGATCTAAGAGATGTAAAGTTTGTATTTCCAAATAAGTGAGCAGTTATTGATTATTTTCTAGAATAAGCCTGCTAATTGTAAAGCTGTAAAGCTGAATTGTAAGCTGTATCCCGTCGCACAATAGGATCCACAGCAGGCAGCACAGGTCAAGCAATCCGGTGATCGATTGGAGAATGAGACCAGGAGCTTCTAGCTACCGGTACACAGCAGGGGCCCCTGGAGCCAATCTCCGTCGAGCTAGCTAGCCTGCGTGATTTTTGATTCAAGTGACAGTCATGGATTCGGGGGCATCTCTTCCAGCCCACGCATCCCTGAGATAGCAATCTCCACCGCAAAGGCTCTATCTGCTCAAGAGTGGCAAAAGTATGCCAACGAGTCTTATCGTGCAGGCACGATAAGAATCACGAAGATTGTTTTGATTGGGGGTTGTGAAATTGGACCCCATGGATACCAAGGCATTGGCGCAGATCATGGAAACAAGTCAGTCGGTGCGAGAGCTTTACATTCGGAATCCTCCTGTGGCAGCGGCCAATGCCGCCAATGTCATGTCATTGATGCGGACAGATCATTGGATTCAACCGGTATGGTTTGGGTCTTCGAGATGGCACCGGGAGGTTGGAGTGCCCTGGCAATTATTGAGAAGCATCCAACGACTGTTGCCTACAGAAACCGACACGGACGGGCTTGAAGCCATCTCGGCGGCACTTACAGCAAACGTCTGCAGGAAATGTGTACATCGTATTGCTTGGGCCTGGTCGACTCGAGACCGCGTTGCCTTGGCTCTTATACAAAACCCACGTTTAGAGGAACTGAGCTTGGTTCTTGCGGAATCTGCCAGGTGGGACGAGCTAGTTTGTGCGTTTTCGGTCAATGCTTCTGTGACGAAACTTGGATTGCGCTCTACAAGCAAAGAAAACACGAGAGGAGTGGGACGCGTTTGCGGAATGCTAACGGTCAATGATGCCATACGGGAGCTGGATTTGGGCCAATGCAATCTCGGCCTACGTGACGTTCGGTAGCCAAAATCGCGAAGGCCCTGGAGACTAACAAGACTATTGTGAAAGTTTCGTTTTGGATGATTGACAGAATCGAAAAGTCACGTGAAGTGGACACTGTTGAATTGTATATTCTTTTGAACAAACCCAACCGAAAACGTCTCATGGTGGAGGATGCTGCCGGACGCGAGTGTATCATCTCCGCAAGCCGGGACGAATGGGTCGAGGCAATCATTACCTGGCTTCCAACCATGCCGTGTCAACCTTCTTTCAGCAAAACTTGATCTTCTTTGCACTCTTGTGCGACGATCCCCGAAACAATGAGAGGGGTAGATCATTTCTGGAGCCAAGACAGATTGATGCAAGTTGTTGCATAGCGTCATAGTTGAGTCGAGTCCACTGGTCCACGTCCAAAGCCCTTGTACTGTACGTTTGGGTTGACCTCGTGTTGGGCAAGAACTACGCACCCCCTGTTCTCTTCCTATCCATATGCCGGCGTTCGTAGATAGCAATCTTACTCTAACCGCCATAGAGTGCCTACTGGTTGGAAACAACCTACCTCCGATCCGAAATGACAAGGATTAGATGTTGGCACCATGGCGAACAGGACGCACATCAAGCAGCGTTTCTTGTTTTTGATTTCAAAATCGCTGAATAAATGAAACAAAGAATGAAACAGTGTAACGTTCCTTACGGTACACCAACAGTTTTGACGAGGTTTCCTCTCATGCATCTCATTATTATCGTATTTGGAAGCTGAGCAATATGCATGGCAGCGTCCAAGATAGCCGATTATGGTTTTGCGAATTGTCGTGTTGAGCTCTCTCTTCCTTTGGTTCGTCCTCGTGCAAAGGTAATGTTGGTTCTTCTGTCTTTCATCAGAGCTCATTTCACGTTTAAACCGTGGCGCCTCAAACCTTTGTCTCTTGCTCGTAGGACTGTTGGCGGCTTATTGATAGCTGATGGTCGTTCGCGTTTGCAAGGTACGTTCCACGAGCGAGTCTTCGCATGCATGCGTGTCACTAGTCTAGCTAGTAGTTATTAGCTCTTCGGGGTCAATAGTACTGTCGTTGGAAGTTGGACGGGACAGAGCGCTTTATGAAGACTGTCCTTGACCACTTCGCTGCGCATAGACGGATGCATGCTTTGCTTTTGCTCCTCGCACTCAAGTCTTTCTGATTTTCATTGGAGATCAAGTCGACCGGCCGTTCGCTCGCGTCTCGCCTATCTCTTGTCTTCCTACCGGTAACCGGGCCGTCATCGTCGTCTCGATCTCATCGTCTCTCCATGCCTGGTGGTGGTACAACGAACGGTCAGCAAGGGCGTCAACGGCGGCCATCGTGGAAAAAGAGCTCCTGGGGTACGGTAATTACGGCCAAACTCGAGCATTCGGATGATCAATCAAATAATTCGAAGTCGATTTAGAAAGAATAATTCGAATGAGCACCGTCATCATGACGTTGATAAGCATTAGCCCTAATCAAGATCCTCAATTGAGGTGACGATCGACAGCGACCATGAGCAACAGCACTCTGATCGATTGGTGCGCGACGGGCCGCTGTTGGACATCAAGCCTAGCTAGATCGAGTAGTAGTGTAATCTCCTCTCCTTGTCTTGTTGTTGACTGAGCGTTGCTTGGATTTTCTTCGCTTTCCATCATGTCGTTTAGTGTCCTCCAACGAGCAGTGATTCGCCGTAGTGTCGGCATCCAGTCGCATCGGCTGATGGCTCCTTCCGTCTCTGCCGTCCAGACTCGAGCCATTACGGATTACATGGGTGCCGAGAAGGAGAAGGACAACATTATTGAGGTACGTTTCTTTGTTCTATCTACTACATGGCCATGTAGTGGTAGTGACACGATGAGAAGAAGAAGAAGGAGTAGCGACTTTGGATACGGTTGGATCTTTGCTCGGCTGTCACCAACCTCCTCCTCTCTTCTCCTTTTCTACTACTAGACTCCCTGGGAAACGATTTTCGATCGTTCGGCCAAGATTTTCTTCTTGACGGAGATTTTCCGTGCGTTTTGGTTGGCCGGTGAAGTAGCTTTGAAGCCCAAGGCGACGATCAACTATCCGTTTGAAAAGGGCTATCTCAGTCCTCGCTTTCGTGGCGAACACGCCCTTCGACGATATCCGTCAGGAGACGAACGCTGCATCGGATGCAAACTCTGCGAAGCCGCGTGTCCCGCACAAGCCATTACCATTGAAGTCGAAGAACGTGAAGATGGAGCTCGTCGTACCACCGTGTACGACATTGACATGACCAAGTGCATCTATTGCGGATACTGCCAGGAAGCCTGTCCCGTCGATGCCATTGTCGAAGGACCCAATTACGAATTCGCCACGGAAACCCACGAAGAACTACTCTATGACAAGGAAAAATTGCTCTCCAATGGTGACAAGTGGGAACGCCAAATTGCAAAGAACCTCATGAGTGAGCATCTTTACAGGTAAACACAAACACTGCCTGTCATCTATCTATCTATCTATCTGATTGCCTTTCAAAAGGAATAAATAGCCACAGAGAATCTGGAGCCATTGATTGTTACACAGCAAGCCTTCAAAATATTATGAGAGTGAGTGGTTGAGGTGATGGATTCTTTAGTATTTATTAATGGTAGTAAATTTTTTTGTAGCTACCCGAAACATCTATCGATAGTTTGTAAGCAGAGGAGACGTCGTGTGTGACTTGGCCGCAGTTGTCCCCATGGGTTTTCTTGGTTTCATTTCTCATCAGGGGAACCTGAAAACATGTATGTCATCATGGTGAGGACTTTTGGTGCGTAAGTAAGCAGCAGCCAAAGCCCCTTCTCCCGACTAGCTAAATGACCGGGGGTGCTTGGCCGTGGAAATGATTGAATGGATCAGAATCGAATCGCTCGTCGTTCCTCACCTCGATTCGATTCCTGAAGCCACTGCAACACCGCACCGCACCGTATCTCGTCGGCCAAGTTTATTTTTTGGAGTCGTAGACTAAAGTATGCACTCAGAGTCCAAAGCAACTCTCTAGTTTTCCGTATGTTGCTGGCTGGAGTGCTTGGTGGGCGTGGAAATGATTGAATCGAATGATGAATGAATCGCTCGTCGCTCGATCCTCACCTCACCTTGATTCGATTCCCGAAGCCTCGACAGCACCGCAGCTTCTCGGCCAATGTATGTTGAGTGACAGTAGTAGACCTACCCAGAGTCCAAACAACTCTCCGAGTCTGTCTTTTTCTTCGTAGGATAGTCCCCTCTGCCCATACTCGACTGACTCCGCTACATGAGTTTCAGCAGACTATCCAACACGCACGTCAATTCTAATGTTTCTCGTATTTAATTCACTTTTAAAAAGCTCAAAAAGTGTGCTATGGAAGTATGGAGACTAGTGCCCCGGAGGAAGCAACACAGGAAGTACCATCAAACACTCCAATCAAGATCCCATGCCTCTCTACCAGTCCCTGCATATCAGACATACATGTTTAGGCCGTCTCTGCCTTGAGAAACAGATCATCTGTACTATCTTCACTGGACTTGGCGGAGACCAATGGTTCCGTCGCCGAGTCCTTTTCGGCGGTTCCTTGCGGCACAACACGGCGATTACGAAGCAAATGCTGCAAGACAGTGGCCGTTCCCAGCATGATCGTGTTCAAAAAGAAGGATGTGGTGGGTGTCAAATCGGTCAAGAGACTGAACAAGACAATGAAATTCAAGGGAATTCGATAGAGATTGTAGATTGCCGCTCGCTTGCTTTCGGGAACGATGCTTCCCTTCATGGTCCCCATGGTAGGCCAGTAGAGTCCGACACTGACTTCAAAGAGATTCATGGCAATAAATGCCATGGTTTTGTTGGACGCCGTGGCGACGATAAACATGGAGAAACTGGCCAATGCAAAGATACCCACACCCAGGTTTTCGACCTTTATTCCTTTATCCATCAAAATCCCAAACAGAGACGATCCAATCATGCAGTTGACCATGAATGTGGAAAAGATGAGTCCAAAGGGTAATTTGATATCGGCGTCTCCTCCCGTCATGGCCGGTGTCCACATGAATACGAAAATGTACATGGATCCCTCAAAGAGACTGGAGATGAGTCCACAGAATAGAATTTCGTTGTTTCGCATGGCCATGAGAAAGGCTTGGTAGAGGGCATCGTACCAGAGCCCGTTGGATCCTTTCTTGGCTTGCGAATCGTCGGCACTGCCGGAATCATTGGATGATGCGGCCGAAATTCCGTCGTCCCCGTAATTTTCTTCCCACAGCGTCGCGGCACAGGCTCCACAGACACCCAATGCCAAGAGTGAAATATCAAAAGGATTGAGGTATCCTCCATAATAGAGGTTGGTTTGATCGAATACTTTGGCCATGGGGAAGGAACTGGCGGCATTGTTGGCAATGAGACCGGCCACAATGGCCACAATGGAGTTTCCGTAGCACGCCCAACTAAAGGATTTTCCCAAATAGTTTTTAATGTGACGATCGCTGTGGGCTCGAATGAGCCAGGCATCAAAGACACTAAAGAGGAGCGACGTGGCGACACCTCCCAAGAGTCGTCCCAACATGAGAACCCAAAAGTTTTGAAAGTCTATAATAAAAATAGATAGAAATAAAAATGGTGAGGTATCACTGGTTCCTCACCTCTAGCGTGCGTGCTGCCCATCAATAAAGCAAGGTCAGACTTACGCTTGGTCATACAACTGAGGGCATAGAACATGGCATAGAGGATAACAAACGTTCTTCTCCCACCCCAATCTGCCATTCCTCCCACAAAGGATCCAAAGACCATACCTAAGGAGAAGATAATAAGAGGAAAAGCAGGTTAGAAAATGACACGGTATATCTATCAGCCCTTTTCTCTTGTGGTGTTTTCTTTCTTCTTACTGGATCCAAATCCGGCCACGAATAAAATGGCAATTTCGTGTTGTTCGTATCCATAATCGGCATAGAGAGCATAGACGTAGGGACCTTGCAGCCAATCACTCATCGTAGCCAGCAGGTAGACCAATAGGTACCGCTTGATGAGCTCCAAATGCTGCTTGTCTTTTTCCGGATCGCTGGGCTCGCTGTTTGCGATCGCATCCGGAGGAGCCATGCCCAATTTGGCCGCAATCACAGTCCAAAGACCCGTCGACTTTAACGTTACGCCCACATTGACCACCACGGCAATGCAGAAAAGACCAAAAAAGGGAGTTTCGGACATCTTGGCTTGTTTGCTTGAATTTGATTTGCTTGGTGATCTGCGATGGAGTGGAAGATTAATTTAAAAAAAGGAGGATGCTGCCTGCAGAAAGTGGATTGGTGCTGCTTCAGTAGTGCCTTGGAGGATGGAGCTAGTGGATGGATGATAATGGTTGTCCTGCCTTGTTTACTTACTGGTCACGGCTTGGTTGTTTGGTCGGCAGCAGGAAGGAAAATAGTGGTGTCTCTTGCTTGTTTGGTGATGGATTTGATTTGTGTCCTTTTTTCCCTTCTCCAACCCAGAAATCCGTGACCGCGCTTAGAGCCAAAAATATCCGATTTGCAACGGTCCAAAAACGCTCATCGCAGAAAACCTGCTAAGTTGGGAAAGGCCGGAGGTTGTCACAATGGCACGTTCTTCCAAAATACGGGTAAATCAGCATGAATACACAAAGGCCATGTCGGAGTGAATGATGAGTGGTATGGTACGGGTAGACGGGATGGGGTAACCTGAGGAATCCTAGATAGCTAGCTAGCTAGGGAGTGACCGAATGCAGACTGGTGCCCGTGTCCCAAAGGAATTTGAATAGATACTGCTGTACGAGCAGTAGCTTGCTATCTTGGCTGGAGGTAGCACCTAAACTTGGAAGCCTGACAGGAAGCCTATAGTGATACCTCTACAAGAGCTGCTCTGTTTGCTTCACTTGTGGAACAGCTCACAAATCTTTAGCAGAAGAGGTGCGATGTCGTTCTGGTTGACTATCACTCAACTCAACTCGACTCCGGCTCGACTGATTGGAGTCACTCCAATGACTCGACACTACTGTACACTCCTGAGGTGCCTGAGACAAAATACTATCGTACCGTTTCTTGATGAAAACTGTGGGTGACTGAACAACGAAACGTTACCGCCATCGTGTCATCGAAACGAAAAGGTCCATACAGCCATCATGCTACCAACGATACTCGATGGATCGTGATGGCCACTCGCCGTGTACGTGACATGCGGAACCAAAGTGGGTATGTTCCACGCTGCGAGAGTGGAAATTATCGTGGATGTCATGCTCGATCGCAGCTGGGAAGCAAACCACAGTCTCACAAACCGCAGTCTCACAAACTACGAGGTGCATTATTCGGTCGATTGATTATTGCTTGACCTCTCTCTAAAGGTAAGCTCCTGTGAATTCACCATGAGGACATCCCAGTTTTTGCATGATGGTGCCACCAATGTTCTCACTGGATGTCTTCTTGCCTCTCCTTGACAGCCTTTCACCAACACAGCGCCATTTGCCAAGAAGCATGTCTGAGGCTCCAGCCAACAAACGCCAGAAGAGATCCCCAGAAGATGACTTGATTTGTCCAATCAGCTTGGAGTTACCATGGGAACCAGTCACAGCAGAGGATGGACGTGTATATGAGCGTGAATGCATTGAGGAGCACATCAAGAAAAATCCAGGGAATCTCAAGTCTCCAATCACTAATGAAAAAATGGGCAGGAGACTCCTTCCTGCCATCTGGGTTCACAACCACATTGACACATTGGTGGAATCAGGTGCCATTGAAGGAGATCTGGCTGCCAAGTGGAACAAAAAGGTGGAGCAGAAGAAGAAAATGGAAGAATTGTTGAAAAAGGCAGATGGTGGTGATGGAGACGCCATGCATAGCGTAGGATTGCGTTTTTTACTAGGCCTTGGTGGTTTCAACCAAGACACTGAGTTGGCCTTTCAGTGGCACCAGAGATCTCATGAGGCTGGGAATGTCAAAAGCACAGCTGTAGTTGGCCGGAGTTATTTGCTTGGTACTGGAGTGCAGCTGTGCAGGCAGAAGGGCACTATGTATGTCTCAATTGCAGCAGGCCAAGGATCCAACGTTGCGGCATTTGACTTGGGAATGGCCTTGGCTGATGGAAAGTATGGCTTTAGTGTGAACAAGGCAGAGGCTATCCGCTGGCTGGAGAAGGCTGTTGGGGACTGCTCTCATGACCACTTGAGAGATTCATTCAAGAACCGAGCTCAACAAAAGCTGAATGAGCTGAAGGCCTCAGTTTCTGAACCAGAAGCAAGTTCTGTGACCCCCTGATCTTTCTTTTCTTTCTCAAACTCAATTGCTGCACCAGTCAGGTGTGTTGGCAAATCCGATGCGGAAGATTTCTGATTATGAAGATGCATGCTGGAGCCTATGATTGCTAGATTCTTTTAACCTTTCCAGTTGCATTATGTAGTCAGGTTTTGGTAGCAAACATTATACTAAATACTTGTTTTGTTCTTGCCTGTTTGTAGATGCCTGCCAACTATCGCTAGCTACGTACCATAGCTGAGGCAGCTCTTTGTAACTACAGTAAGTTTCACATACCATCCATGCAGGCTTGTCATCGGTTACATCGTCAACTGGACTTGATTCGTTGTATAGTCCTGTAGCTCTTGCATCGCAGACACGTTCGGTTAGTTAGAGGTTGTTGTCCAAAAATTAATACTATTTTTAGTTCTATACAAATTCCAGCGTCTTGTCCTTCCACCCATACGCCGTCTTGTGTTGATCAAAGACTTGTTGATATCCCTCCAGCAGTTTGGCATGATACTCATTGATTTGTTCTTGCGTGGGACTTTCCGTCTTGGGGCAATGTACGGGATTCCCCAAACACACCGTGACAGGCACTCGCCGAGGAGGCCCCAAGAGCCATCCCCAACGACCAAAAAAGGGTGTCAAACTGGTGTTGAGTGAATTGGACAAGTGTTCGAGAATACCAAAGGGATCCACCAAGACACTGTAGGCTGCCGTGTGTCCAAAGGCGTAAACCGGAATAATGGGGACTCCTGCTTTGAGTGCAATCTTGACAATTCCCTTGCGCTTTTTCAAGTAAGCCAATTCCTTTTTGTGGGACGAGTCCTGAAACATGCCCGCAATACCATCGAGAATAACTCCGACATTGTCTTCTTGTTCGGTCAGAGTCTTGAGTATTTGCGGTGCCTTGGCGGGAATGTATCCAATTTTGCGGAGCAAATACCCCACAATGGGAATATTGAGTACCACCGGTGCCGTGGTCCAATGACAGAGCTTTGCATTCCACAATTTGCTCCAAATGGGATAGGCTGTAATACCAAAGGGTCCCACGCCATGGGGGACAATGCAAAAGAGAACGGGAGTCTTGGCCAATGCCGGGGGATGAATCGAGTGGGGCCACACGTAAGAGGCACTGAGGTATTTGCACGTGTTGCGTTCCGTAAAGACGTATTGATTGTTGCGAAAATCGCTCTCATCCGACAATAAGTATCCCGCTTGTTGATAGCGCCGTTGAAAAATGGGTTGCATCACCATGGTCTCCAAAAACGACAAGACGGCGACATAGCCCAACACGAACAAAACCAAGTACTGAGCCCACGGCGTCGCCACACCAAAATAGAGAATGGCCATGGGGAGGATCAAAAAGGGAAGCACATTCAAAATCATGTACAGCGAGATCCCAATAATACGTTCCACTTCCACCACCCAATCCACGGGTTGGACCTTGTTCAACGAGTTGAGCGGAAAACCGGACTTTTCCGTCGTCGTCACACATCGATCCAACCATTTCTCGGCAGGAACGGCCGACTGGAACAACTCGTCGGGAAGATTCGCATAGTCCAACTGATAAAACTCGGGAGTGTCCTTCTTGGCGGCCATGGTCAAGTCTATTATTAGTAGGAGAAAACGAGACGAATTGAATTGTGAGATAATTTCCCTACTCTAAACCCCCTTATATATTGTGTGCTTTCGGACGATGACGTAGTTGCCTGCCTCCAAGTCGAGGGTGGCGACAGGAACAAATTCGAACAGATCGATATTCTCTCGAATTGATTGAATCGTAGAAATCGAATCGAATCGAATGATCCAATCGAGTCGAGACGAATCTCTAGAGGACCCCCACAGCCAATGGAGTTGATCAATCGAGGTCGGCCTGCGTGGCACGTGTTAAATCCCGCGATAAAAGCTTGCCAGAGGCCAGTCTGTAAAATTCTGTTAACACTTCCTATCGTTGCGTGATTAGAAGTATGCACTCGTTAGATAGTGATGAAGATGTACTTCTAATGCGGCAACGATAGGTTGTAATGAAGGTTGTTTTCGGACAGGCTTCTGCGAAGCAAATAATCGCTCATTTTTCAAACAACCCGGAACCTTAAAACGTCTTTTTGTCATGTGACAACGGTCAATTGTATCCCACCAACCTCGTGTTTCGATTTTTGGATCCGTGGGTTCAAGTCTTATACCATGTGATACAGTAGAGAGGTTGTGCGATTTTTCTAAAGAGACGTGAAACCTATACCAGCCGACCGTTAATATGCATCCTAAAGAGACAACCAACTGTTGGCTCTTGTTGTCGACAGTCGATCCCATGAACCAATGGCTATGCTAATTGATGGAGTTTACCTCATTATTCGGCTTCCAGGAAAACAGAAAAGGTAAGCTGAAGCTATCTGTTTTCTCTATTCGCTCTTGTTGTCTTCTTCTTGATCTAACTTGTTGCCCCCTTTGTTGCATCCAAGATGATGAGTGCTTGCAGTTCCGGTAGCAGCGGCAGTGACCGGTCGTTGCGATCAAGGACGAAGACTGACTCACACGATGGACCCACTCCACTTGGAAGAGCATTCGAAACATCAAGTACTGTATTGACTTCCCTTTGCCCATCAGCATACCTGTTCTGGTTGCAGCCTACCTCGCAAGTCAAGCGGCCTTACCGATCCGGCTGGTCTCGAACGTCATCTGTCCCATACCAGCAAGCAATACCAGTGCAAGCAACTGTGGCTGTCCTCTTCCGAAACGTCCGACCACTACCATGCATCCGCTTCCACGGTGGTCCAAGATTATGTTCGAAACAACTTCCTTGTTGGATTGGATCGAAACTTAGTAGATGCCACCCCCACTACCCATTCTTCAACCAAGCGGGCACTGGATACTGACGACAATGTCACACCTACGGACAGTACTGGCGAAGTGTGTACGGAAGACGTTCCTTCATCCAAGAAAGCCAAGTCGGATATCGCCCAACACCGGTACACTTTCTCCAGTCAAGGACAAGAGTTTACTGTCCGCATTCCCCTTTCCCATGAGATCGTGCACAAGAACTGCGACGGGATACAGCTTACAATTCAGCTTTACAGCTTTACAATTAGCAGGCTTATTCTAGAAAATAATCAATAACTGCTCACTTATTTGGAAATACAAACTTTACATCTCTTAGATCGTTAGATTAGACAATCCACAATGGTATTGTCGCATGGTAGCATGCGAGGTTATGAGATGTTACTCATTCTTATTCTTATATGTCTATCCCTTATGGTTGTCAATGGAATGAGCTATCCCTTGATGCAGAGTCCTGAGTTTCCTCTCATTATCTTCATCGGTAGTCCTTCCCCTTATTGCAACTTAATTCCCTTGGATTCGCTCGTAAGCAATCCTCCTCTTGTTGGTGATTCGCTCGTAAGCAATCGCAACCATGGACTCCTACAGGAGTCCACCTTTCATCCTGTCGTTGATCGAAATCGCGATGGGGACCCTGGACTCCTATGGGAGTCCACCTTTTACTATCAGCCAAGCGGTAAAGAAGCCGCTACTAATACTGCTAATTCTATTGCTACTACTGTTATCTCCAGGCCATCATCAGCGCCTCCCATGCTCAGCTTCAGCATGGATCGAGGATCGATCGGCCGCGATAACAGAGGTCGCGATCGAGAAGTTAACAGAATTTGTCGAAAAATGAGCTCCGAATGCATATATAAGGCTCGGCCTGTGTGTCATGCATTGAGTCATGCTTCGGGAAGGCTGAGCCATGCTTGCCTTATATCTTCGAAGACTCCTCACTTTTTCATTCCAAACGTGAACAACAACATCACGAGCGATCGATCGCTCCGTGCAGTTGTTCTTGTTGTTCATGTGGCTGTTGTTCATGTGGCTGTTGGTCGATCGGCAGTTGGTCTCTTACCCAGGACCGGCATTGGTCGTTTGAACTGGCTTGCAGTTGTTGTTGTTGTTCAAGCGAACGATTCGCTTGCAGTGGATTCAAACGACGACGAAGATTCAAACGACGAGAACTCGCTTGTCGACGCGAAAGATAACAGTTCGGCGAATCGGTCGAGCTGTTATCTTCAGAACTGTTGGAAAGCTCATAAATTCCATCTTCGATTGACTCGATTGACTGGATATCCGCCGCTCTCCTTGTCCTGTTGCCATTGCTCTTGTTTTCAACTTCGATTGACTGGATTTCCACCGGCCTCCTCCTGTTACCGCTCCTTCTACTGTTGCCGCTGTCGCTGTTGCCATTGCCATTGCCCTCTTGTTGATTCTCACTTGATGGACCTTGACGACGCTTCCTCTGCCTCAGCATCTTCATCTTCAACAGCAGCGCCAGCATCAGCATCCTTGTTCAGTCCACAAGGCTTCAGACAAGCCTTCTTTGAATCTGATCCAATCATCCCACCATCTGATCCTCCAATCATGACTGCAGCACCGTTGACCGCAGTTCAGTTCCAGGAGCTCCTCCAGCACATTGGGAAAACCAAAGAAAAGACCAAGCTTACAGAAGCCCCTC